TTCTTCTACCATTTAAACATTTGAGAAAGAAGATACACCCATACTATACAATTATAATAAAAAAATCAAAGAGAAATTACGCTTAATTTATCGAGGAAAATGGAAAGACAAATCACAATCACAAAGAAAAATATGCCAAGTGCAAAATTCCCAAAAGTATTATGCTCTTACGCGAGACTATATAATGATACTAAACTCCAAACATCCTCATATAAAAAAAAGATCAACAAATAATGATTCTACACTTGACTAAAAATAGCGCTGAAATCTTTAGAGATTAATTGAACGGGGAAACATAACAAAAAAAGTGCCTCAAAAGACAAACCCACACGAAATTTCCCAGATCTTTCACTAAAATGGTCTTTTCACGAATTTCCAAATTAAAGGAAATAACCTTCATATTAGAGACGCTCGTTTATATCTACGATCTGCTCCAATTTCACCAAGAAAGAAAGACATGGAAAGAGGGTCATCACATTGGACTCACCACACATCCTTGCACATCTCGAATCGGATATTAAGAATTTTCTTCTAAACTGCGGTATTTTATAAAATTTACTTGTTTGAAAATTTACTCACCCAACAAATTATTGGATAAATTGTGGGATGTTTAAAATAATGTGAAAATCAATGGCTTAGCCACTAAGTAGCACCATTTTGTGATTATTAGGAAAATATACTTTTAAGCTGCTAGCGGTTCCGCTAGAATATCTATTCTAACTTTTTATAGGCTAAACAGCTAATTAAAGGGAAACTGAAAGCTCGGTGATCAAGTTAAACCAGCTGTGCACACAAAACTGCTGAAGTACATTCCACCTTACCAAATTATACAAAAATGATTTACTGTCAAGCTTAGAAAGCTATGAACATCACGAAAAAATGTTATTGTGCCATCAATGGGAAAACATTTAGCAGTTTTGATAACATCTGAAGGAACAGGCACTTAAGAACAATATCACATATACAGTACAGCTTAGAGGTACTTGGCCATAAATGCACGCGAAAAGCGCGTCAGAACAAAGCGCGCACACGCGTGCAACTTTTTCAAACACTCGAAAGACGCGCGCGAAAGAAGCTTATTAGTACGTATGAAGCAGTCTTTTGTTTTACCCCTTTTTAACTTTGAATGGTGTGTTAAATTTATAATAAAAGAGGGATTCCGATGTTGGTGACATTACGTAGTTTTTTTCTCGAAATGGCTTGCCTGCATGGTGAAGAAAAAGGAAAAAGTATTTGACCCGCTGGGTACCTCTTTAGACAGCGAACAAGAACAGGGAAGATCAAGTTCAATAAAGGCGTTATCGTAAAAGGTTAAGGTTAGCGGCTAGCAGCAAAACTTGAATCGTTTGCATTCAATCGTCAATAAAGTTATGTGAAATTATTTGCAGTTTCCTGTAACAGAAGACATTTTCCTAATGTTTTTCATGGATGATTTGAGGTTCAGAGGATAAGTGAAGAAAATCAGATTCCATTCTGCCGTTTGTGGTTAACGTCAAGCTAAAGACATATTTGTTTACAAGTAGGCAAGACCGCCGCTACTGTTCGAACTGTTCGAATTTGATTCGTTTTACTTGAATCGTACGTGTGAATGTAAAGGTACGACTGAACTAAACCATTTTCCTATTATCTGAAATGTCCACAGTCAATTGATCGCATGCCATAAAAAAGTCTCCTGTTGACTTCAGAAAATGGGAAAAAGGGAATTGCAGAAATCCAGCTTCGAAGATACAAACATATGAACCAGCAATTCAGTAGTGGTCGCTGAAAGATATTTCCTGATATAGCTAATATTTCGCAAATGATAAAATGAAGATTTACAAATGTCAGTAATATGATCCTTAAAGCAAAAATGGCTGTCGAACATAGTGCCGATATTCCTCGCCTTTTGCACGGAAGGGATAGTCTCACCAGCAACTGAAATTTCGTGAAGGAGTGGTCTTGGAAGATGTTTAGCGGAAATTACCAATAATTCAGTTTTGTCTTTATTTAATTTAAGACGATTAACCATCATCCAATGACTGATTTCATCCACACAGCTCTCGATGCTAGAAACCGCTTGATCCCTATCACCCAGTATGGTTGGTTGGAAAGACAAGTAAAGCTGTGAGTCGTCAGCATAAAAATGATAGCTCAGGTTAAATTTCTTTACGATATCTGAAAGCGGTGAAGTATAAAGCAAATACAAAATGGGTCCCAAGACAGATCCTTGTGGCACTCCACATTTAAGGTCATGTTTCGTCGAAGTACCACCATCAACGGAGACATATTGCGTGCGATTCGATAAATAAGATTGCAACCATAATAGAGGCTTCCCAGCTATCCCAAACCGTACACGTAAACGAGAGAGGAGGATGGTATGATCGACTGTATCGAAGGCAGCGGAAAGGTCTAATAACAGTAAGATTACGATTCGACGATTATCAATGGCAGAAAGAATATCATTGTGAACACGAATAAGTGCAGTTTCAGCACTGTGATATTTCTTGTACGCCGACTGGCATCTGACCAGATTCCAATGAGATATTTATGATTTTGGAAATGAAATGCAACAGAACACTAAGTGCATTTCTTGTAACATAACCAGGAAGAGGATCAAGAGCACATGACTTAGCAGCCAGATTCATGATACATTTATGAACTTCATCCGCTGTTACCATTTTGAAAGTATCAAAAGAATATGGACAGGCGTTGTCAACAACAGCAACTGTATCTCGATGAGAGAAAGCAGCAGACGTTATATTACCCCGTATTCTATCTATCTTTGTAGTGAAGTACTTAATAAACTTGTTAGCAAGATCAGTGGGCGATTTGCAGGGGGGATATTGAATATCTGTTTTCCTTTGTAGTAGTTTATCAATTATCTTAAAAAGCTGTTTATAATTTGACTGATTCTCATTGATTAATGATGCGAAATAATTCTTCTTGGAATCACGAATTAAGTTGTTGACAGCATCACATCCCTCAATAAACAACTTACGATCAGAAGGAAGTTTGGTCATTCGCCAGCGTCGTTCAAGTTTTCTACGGGATCTCTTTAAATTATTTATCTCCTCAGAATACCAAGGTGCAGCGGGACGCAAAGTAACTAACTTTTTTTTTGCAGTGGAGCATGAGTCTCAAGTATGGTAGTAAGGACTCTGTTATATTGATCAATCAAATAATCCAAGGATGACGATGACGAGGCAAAAAGATCAGGAAGGCTCGAATTCATAACATCAGCACAGAAATTATCAAAATCAATAGATCGAAGCTTTCTGAATGAAATAATCTTCTTGTCGAGCGGCGGCTTATTAAGCGAGAGCTGGAAGTGAACAGCAGCATGATCAGAGATGACAAAAGGAGAACCAATTGTTAAATTCGAAACAATTCTATCATCAGATCTTGTAATCACAAGATCTAAGGTGTGTCGATCTTTATGCGTTGAGCCATGTGTATGTTGAGTAAGATTGAAAGAATCCAACAATTGAAGAAATTCAGTTGAGTGTTGGGAAGAACAGGTGTCAACATGTATATTAAAATCACCAACTAATAATATTCCATCAGGATCAGCGATATAGTGCTCCAGGAACGTAGAAAACTCATGAGGGTGTTAAACCATTCAAGGTCGAGGGAGGTGGGCGATAAACAATAATAACTCTGAGTTTTAAACCGACTGTACTTGACAATAACAAATCCATATATTCAAAGGACAAAAACTTCTTGAGCGGCTGCAACTTTAAGTTGAAAGATGATCGAAATAACAAAGCCAACTCCTCCTCCACGAGTAGAACCAGGTCGAGGAACATGATGAAATGAATAACCTGAAGGACATAAATCACGAATAATTAATTCATTGTCAGCATCTGATTGAAGCCATGTTTCTGTCAAGCCAAGAAGATCAATATTATTTTCGACGACAAAGTCCTTGATGATAGTAGTCTTGTTGTTAATTGAACGCGCATTTAGCAAGCAAAAATTCACGAAGCGAGCCCTTGGTGTGTAGCTTTTAATCGGGTTAGGAGTAAGTTCAATTAAATTTCTAAGATTCGATCCAACAGGAGTCTTCATCGTGCATGTAAATCGTGAGGAATTTAATCGACAGCCTTGGGGTGAGACCAAAGCTCGAATATAATTCAAGCGCCGCCGCTTTTCTTGAACTATTTTTCCCGCTCTGCAACCTCTAAACTTTCTTTGACAATTTTTGCCCAGAGGAAGTAAAATACATGGGAGATTCCAGTTGTAGCAGAAGCTCTGAGCACTACGAACAAAAGGCACTGATGGAGAAGTGTGTTGTAAATTGTGATTAAGCCAATTCATCGATTTCGTTGCAGTCGAAAACGCAGAGAACTTATATCCCAGATAGGCGTTTTGTTCTTTATGTATCCCCACCATCCGAGGGGATGTTGGACCAGGATTAGATTCAACGTCCACGAAGATAGTAAGGTCAAATTTTGTAGGCAGACCAAGCGTCAAGTGACCACGTTTGCACCAAGTACAAATCGAGCGCGTAAGTTTGTCTCTTCCATCCACCAATCTAACTGCGCGAGGAGGACCATGACATCTCAGCAATAAAGTAAGAGGACTCTCATAAACCGAAAAATTGATAAATGATGATCGAAAGAGAGTAGGAAAACAAATTAAAAAACCTAATATGATGAGAACAAAGTAACACGTTGCAGCCATCTTGGGCGCATACATATCCATATCATATATATTTCCAATGGTACCATAATGAATTGGACCCAGTTAATATTGAAAGTTCTTAAAATGTGAAAGAAAGATCACCCGTGAAATAGCGCTGGAATCTGTGCTAAAATGCTAAATACAAGCTAAAACGCAATGTTTTCAGTAATATAAAATTAAACAAAGGGTAAAACAAAAGACTGCTTCGTACATACTAATGAGCTTATTTCGCGCGCGTTTTTTGAGTGCGTTTGAAAAAACTACACGCGTGTGCGCGCTTTTTCAACGCGCATGTAGGGCCAAGTATTTCCGAGCTGTAGAGTAGCTGCACACATCCTCTACGATTTAATGTCCGCATACACAGTATCCGTACCACTAACACGTGGCATGGTTGCCTTCTGTCCACGACCAGTCAGTTCACCAAGCTCAGCATACTGAAGCTCGCCGGGTTTAGGTGTCTGCCCGCGATACAAAGAAAAACAGGTTGAAATTGAACGAAACAGACAATCGTAGGCATTCTTCTAACAACGGTTCATCAAAAATAAATTAACCTTTGGAATGATGCAAGTGTCCAAAAGGGGGAGACTCGCTGGAAAGCCTAATTGGCTTTTTTCCTTTTTTCCGGTCGGTGGGTTCAAGTACGCGAACAAGCAGAGTCCACTTAGCTGGTTTGATATCAACTAATGGTCGACAAATGTTGATAAGCCGCGATAGTAAATTTAGAAAAGCTCACGTTTGGAACGTTAGCCCTCCGTCTGAGCAAAGTGAAGGACTACGATAGGTGTGTATCTTTGTGGGCGGAAAATGATTTGGAGTAAGCATGGTAACGAATGCTGTCTAACTGGCATTAAACATCAATGCCCGTTGTCAAGCTTGAAATTTTAACCACAACAATGGCACCACGCCTTAGTTTTCCATGGTAACTGAATTAAACAATTGCAAAATTTAAACGTTTAAATTTCCTTATCGTTCCTTTTATCAGTAAATGGCTTGGTGGAAGTATTTTTATAGTGCTTCCTTGCTCTTGTACAAACGCGCTCTAAAAGAAGTCTGCACCACTCCTTACAGTCTATGAAGTATCGACTTTGCATCTTAACTTCTTTACCAGCGGAATGCAGTCTTGAGTAAGTATAAATTATGGTACAGAGAAAAGTGATACATGTGTTTGATTATTCGGTTATGAAACAAACTTTACTGGGATCTGGTCACTATCAAAAGGTAAGATCCGTTTACTAGAGCTCCTTCATTGCGGAACCTTACCTTCTTTTTCTTCTTGGTTTTATCGACCACTGCATATTCTGGAAGTTGCTCTCCCGGTGCACCTGCTTTATTCCCTCTTCTTCCCTCAAAACTCCTATTAGCAACTTCATAAGTCACTGAAGGCTCAGACGATGGATTGGAGGCTCGATAGTTGACATTAGGACCCGCAGCTGCATACTGGTTGTCCGCTTCCCTACAATGTACAGTAACTTTTCTTTAAATTGAAACCCTCTGCTACCTTACCTCTGATATAAGGTTTTTAAAAGGAAACGGTTAAACAAAATGTTTATTCGCATTTAAAGAAATTTAAAACAAAGCTGAATAAATATACGTAAAGCGAAACAATCAAACAACCAGTGGAAGTGTCAACAAACAAAAACAAACGACTCCTAGGTAACAGAAAAAAAAAACAGCCATTAAATAACACTTACGTCGCTATGCCTCGTCCTTCATCGGAGTGGACTTCTCACAGTAGTGTGTAAAAAAAAAAAAAAAAAAAAAAAAAAAAAAAAGAAGCGACATACAGTTAGACGTGTTTGAAAATCTCTGACTTTTCCCTGACAAATATGAAATTTCCGACCAACTGAACTAACAGTTCTAATAAAATATAGGTCCTACGAATGGCCTCCAACCTCGCCTTACAGCCACCCTCCCCACGAATTTATTTTCTTTGTTTTCAGCAAATCACATACAGTGTATATGAGTTGGTAATTCCGAAAAAAGGCATTGATTTTCTTGGAAACCCAATATCAGCCAGTTGTCGTGCAATGAATAAAAAATATCCTTCCAAACCAAAATGTTTCATGTTGGATGAATTGTACCAAATACGGTTTGAATGTTAGAAAATTGTGAAAATAGAAAGAGGTAGGTGAACAATTTCATTCCTACACCACTCGAGCTTGCATTACAAGGGAAACAGTATGTTTATTAGCGTCAATCAAATATACTGAACAATATTCACAAGTAACATTGACGTCGCAAAATGTTAGGCGTTGTCATCTTTCATACAGAAGAGGCCAAGACAAGCTGAATGAGTTTCTTTCAATTGGGATTTCACTTTTCCATGACATCTCTTAAAGACGTACAATTTCTCTGACAAAATAAAGTTTCCTGACTTTTCTCCACTTCCTTGAGAAAGTTTTTCACTGACCATTTCCTAGCCTTTGGTCACCATGAAAAACATATGCAATAAGCACGAGTAAGTTTTTCAGAATGACAAAATGTCGGGAGCCTGTAGGGCGTGTGCAATTTGCAGTTTCAAAAATAACAACTGCCTATTTATAACAAATTAAACAAAAAGGAAGACAACAGTGAAAACATATGAGGTACCGACCCTGGGACGGTGAACAAAGCCATCACAAGGTTCATATGTTCATACACGTCCCGCAGACTACTACAGTCGGCGATTTTGAAAGCGTCAAGTAAGTTACCATCGTAAGAAAGATGATAAATTTTAAACTCGGTAATGTAATGATCCCAGAAGAAATAAGTTTCGTGTCAACAGACTTCAGTCTCTACATGACCACATCTCTGACAAGTTGGGATGTACAGTGTACACAAATGCTTCATGGTCCATAATTTCAAAGAAAATTATGTTCATTGATAAAATAATGTTAGAACATGCCAAACAAACATTTCATTATCCCCGACACCCTAACTACAAAATCGATTAAAATTGGTCTACAATCAAAAGATAGATTAAAATGGAAAATACTCACCCCTTGGACGCTTTCCATTGCTCACGGGAAGACAGCATGAGCCTTTCTTTTTAACAAGTATGACCACTAAAACCAGAACGATTACTACCGCTAACACAATGATCAAAATGATCCACCAGGCGAACCCTACGAGACACAAACCGTCAATGATTCAAGATAAGTACAGCTAAGTGTAATTAGCAATCAAGAAGCTACGCTTTCTCTCACTATGTTTGGACAGGTGATATTTCAATGAAATCATGAGTGAACTGTGTAAATATTTCCTTAAGAAATTGTTCATAGTTCTGGAAGTTCCATTGAGGCATAACCTGGTTTTGCACAGGGTCTAATGACTGTCACCTGAATGCTACGATAAGGTTTTCAAAATGTTACCGTTAAACAAACTGTTCAGTCGCATTCAAAAAGGAAATAAAAGAAAAACACGAATTAACATACACATACATGTACATGGTGAAACAGACAAATAAAAATAAGAAAGCATAAAAAACTAAGTGTAGAAGTGATCTCACTGAACAGCTATCCTCTCATTGTTGTAAATATATTAACGGTTCGTGAGTGAAGTGAGTGAAGCTATGGAGCCATAACACAGACAGCTCAAAATTTGTATTCGTTCTCTCTCCCAATAGTTTTGAGTCACAATAAACGTTATGTTTTTTTTTCCTTCTAAAAAAAATAAGTAAAACATTTTTCAGCACTGAAAACTGTAACGCTTGTGTAGAAAAAGTGCAAAGTGACCTTCTCTGTTATAATTGTCATAACAGCAGATGTAATTTTGGCTCAGGAATCAAATAGAGATTTAAATTCGTATTCAAGATTAAAAATGGTGCTGCTTCAAACTCTTGCTAGCCGTTTCAACTATCTCTTTCGTACAAAGCCCCAATTTGTCTATTCAGAGCCAAGACAAAACGAAACATCTGTCGTTGATATTTTTAAAAAGGCAGGTCATTAATACTTGTTCTAAGAACTATCAGTTAGGGTGCCCAACTCTACAAATTTTCGGATAGATTTTTCTCGCATGAAAAGTTAAACTTTCAATTATGATTACGTTGTTCCTTTTGCTTTAGACTTTTTAAATACGTTTTGATTAGATGGTTTAAGAGTATAAGCACAGTGAAACTGAAAGCCAAAGGTGGTCACGAAATTAAATCAAAGTGACTCTGTGGTGAACTTGTGGATATCTTGTGCAGAATATACTTTGAATATACAGAGATTTTATAAAAATTGATAGAATTTGGTCTAAATTCACAAAGGAGATTAACATATGAAATACTTTCCCTATAAATCCCTTTTTTTTTCTTCATCTCCATGTTTCAAGAAAAGGACCACACCTAATTAGAGAACCATATTCCTTGCAAGCTACAAGAAGCAGAATGGAGCAATCACAATCCTGGATGGCTGATATCGTTCATGAACTTATGAATTATATTACTATGTGATTCTTCGATTGGAGGCTGTTCATATTTGCTCTAAATATCCCATTATGTAAATGATCTACACGTGTTACTTGATTTGGTAGTTCAAATAAACTGGTTGTTAGTTCTAAAGCTATTTTAGCGATGTTAGTGAGATAGAAAAGCATCAATCTTCCTTTACGCAAATGAAGCAGAAGTTGGCAATGAAATGGCAGCAATGGGGTCATAAGAGTAAATCGAGTTTTGGATTTTGAGACAACTGAATCCATACATGAGCTTCAAGTGTAATTGTAACCAGTAATTGTAGCTTATTATTTAAAAAATGGTTACCACTGGTGTTTACAATTGCCCCTTTCCCCAAAATTATGCACATTATACAATAACCACTTTATGCTTTCCCAACACACTGTCTACCTCTTTCAAATAGTCTTCAGCACCAGACAGTTTGCCTTTTTAACCAAAAAAAATTTAGTGTTTGGTCTTTTGTCTGAAACAGGGCAGGTGTACATCTACTGTCAATGATTAATAGAATTTTTAATATTTTTCTGAAATTTGGCTCTGCTTACAAAAGGAAGGTATTTTCCATCCATTTCATTTGAACTCCGGAACATTTCAAGCTCCGGCAATATAACAAACAGGTCACCAAATGCTACTGTGAGTGCACCTAGTTTCCTTATAAGGAGAAAATCCCCCAGTGTTTAATTAAGATAAGGAAATTTAAATCAATGTCAATAAGGAATAAATAAAAATGAAATTGATTTCCAAATACATGTACAATCCCCCCACTCAGCATTACCATAACATTTAACTTTCTGTTGGCAATTTAAGGAGGCAGAGTAGCAGACTGGTTAGAGTGCTGGTCTTGTAATCTAGCATTTCTGAATTCAAAGCCTCCAACCTGCTAATCAATGCTGGATTTGTTGTCATACATCTTGACTGAATTCAACTCCTTGGCTGTACTTTAAAAATAAATGTAACCAACTGGTATGTCCCCTGCCAGTTAGGGTTTTTATGATTATCATAATATTCTTTGACAACTTTTAATTCTAACTTGTTTTTATTTCAGTGACTTGTTGAAAATTGCTTTCTGTAAATCTTGTTTACCCTTGTAAAGTAAAGTTTATTATTATAGCTGCTGTTGTCATTGTTATCAAAATTACACAGCAAGCTTTCAGATCTCTGTAAAAACCTGCCACAGTAAAAGTTCTGCATAAACTATTGTAACTTTTGAAAACATGTTTCTCACACCCAAAAATATGCTTCCAATCAAGCACACAGCAAGGGTATTCATTTATCAGCTTGCAAAAATTTCATAGGAAGTGTTATGAAGACTTACCTCCTGAGGGATCATCAGTTGGTGTTGGGGTTCCTTTACTTGTTGGTTCCACATCAGGCCTTGTCCCTTTAATGGCACCCACACTAAACTCTCCCAGCTTTCCATCTTTTGCAACATTATTAAGTATTATGAGAACATCTTTTTCCTTTGTAGTGGAGTTGAATTTTAGTGCAAGGTCAACAATGATACTTCCAAACCTTGGAACAGACATAAACTGAGGATTAGAGTGACATGAAATGGAAAACAGATAACAGAAGAGCAAATAATAAAATTTCTACATTTAAATAAAGCAAAAGCAACTGGCAATTATCTAAATCCCATTAATTCACATACCTCACACCTATCAACTGCACTCCTTCATAACCAAGTTTATCAGCAAAAGCCTCCCTAAGCTGGAAGTAAGCATTTCAATCATTTGTCTTTAAATGTTAGTGTACATGTATCACACATGAAAACAAATGATGATGACACCAAATATTATGTATTAATTTGAACATGGCTTTTTGCCCAGAATCAGCTGAGAATCAGTCTCTGAGTATTAATCAGTTGTTTCTTTAAAGTGCTACTTCAATGAATGGTCTTCTTTTTATCACTTGCCTCTATTTTAATTTGGAAAGAAAGCAGCAGGCCTCTTATTGTCCTAAATACAGACCATGAGCAAACACTGAATAATAAGAAGGTTGTGACAAGCTTTTCAAGTTCAAGATTTGACAGAACTTGGACAGACTGTGTGCAATCTAGGAATTCAAGAAAGACTGTAGAATTAAATGAAATATTCTCCACACATTCATTCCAGACAAATTTCCTTTTAACCATTATACAGCTAGCACATCAGTCTCTGACCCTGAGTTACCAACACAAAGTGACAACCACAATCAACAATTTAACAGATCAAGTGAAGTTCAACACAGGCACACGATTTATTTGTGAGAAAAAAAATCCCTCCATGTAAACTAGTATATGTTTAATTAATAGCTTTGACAACAATATCTAGTAAGTTATATGTACATTAAGTTACCGGCTTTTTTAATTTCTCCAGTAATGAGGATTGGTTGTATTTTTCATCTCCAGAGATTTCACTTGTGATGACAATAGTTATGTAAATCACATTTCCTCCAATGTCTATGAAATAGGAGAAAAATCATTACTAAAAAATTGACTCAATATCTTTATTGCTACAGGTATTCTGTTTAAAAACCAGGGTTTTATAAAATTTAGAACCATTTAAAAGGGTTATTTAACCTCAGAGACAATTGAGATGTCTGTTGCTTTCAGTGAATACAGGACATTTCGCACAAAAGACTTTTCGCACAAGTCTTTTAGCACAAGTTTTGGAACGTTCACACAATTCTTAGTGGTCATTTCGCACAACAATTATAGGTGAGAAACATCAATATAAAAGGTATACTAATTGATACTGATAAGACATCTCACCTTCACATGTCACTTTCAATAAGATCCCACGGCGAGAACGTAGACATTTATGTGGTATTAATAGGTTAATAGAAGTTAATAGTTAGCGTGAATTGTAAATAGGATCGCGTTTCATATCTCGGCACGCGTTTGTTTGATTTTTATCGCTCCGTAGTTTTGTTTTTGTAATCCCAACCCTCCCCCTCCCCCCTTGGCAGTTGTATTTCTCCCAAATGGAAAATATATGTAGCTGCCCATCGACGGCCCACGAACTGTATTCGGTTGTCTTTATTGCGTAGACATTTATTTACGTAATAACTTCAACTAGATCGAAACGCTTGTGAACACGATTTCTTGTTCTTACTTGAAGAAAGGAACAAATCTTTCTCTCTATGAAAATGTAAAGAAATCCCTATTCGAACGATTACTTCTTTTACTTTTCCTTTGTTAAACGAAAAACCTTTTAGTTTTGACAGTACATCATCCACTACAAACAAACGAACATGACGACCCAACGCTAAGGACGCCATGTTGATTTCGAAAGTAATTGTCACCAATCCTCCCTCCTCTGAAGTCAAAGTAAAAACCTGCAAACTGTTTCACTTTTTATATAAAAGGAGAAAAGCCCTATTTACAAAATTTCTGTGTAAATATATAAAATTCAAGTTCACGGCCATGTTACCCGACGAATCATGCAAATTTTAACTCGCTACTCGGTCAATACTCATAGAAATTTAGCCCTTTTCTGCATTCATTTAAGCTATAGTACATCTAAATTTCGTTGTTTGTTTTGATCTTAAGCTTGTATGATTACTTATCGAACGGCTAGCGAATAATCTTTGAATTATTTTGAATTCTTGAAACTTTCGTGAAATCATTTGTTTACATCACGGTTGCTATGACGCTTATCGATCGATACTGAACTCTCCATCGCTTAGGTAATTGTTATTAGAATAATTTGAAAGGCTACTACTTGACAGATGTATTAAACTTCTCGATCTTTAAAATGATTACAGATCGAACTTGTCTTTCTACAAGATCACTAGTCACTACCTACACTGACACGTTCAAGTTGTCAAATCACAACACTTGCACGTGCCGACATACGATGTGAATCACTCTCTGACTATCGAGTTATTAACTGTTTTTGCGGTACTTATTACTAGTATGCCTAATTTTCATTATATAACGAAGATATAAGAAGCAAGTTTTCAATAGCTTTATTTGAAACTCTTACAGATCGATAAAACATGCTATTTGAAGGCGATCGAACAAGGAGGGAAGACTGGTGACAATTACTTTCGAAATCAATATGGTGTCCTTAGCGTGGGTCGTCATGTTTGCATGTTAACTTTGTACTGTCAAAACTAAAAGGTTTTTCGTTCGACAAAGAAAACGTTACAGAAGTAGTCGTTCGAATAGGGAGTTCTTTACATTTTCATGGAGAGAGCGATTTGTACCTTTCCTTTCTTCAAGAAAGAATAGTGATCGTGTTCACGAGCATTTTGATCTAGTTAAAGTTATTACGTAAATAAATGTCTACGTTCTCGCCGTTGGATCATGTGAAGGTGAAATGTCTTATCAGTATCAATCAGTATACCTTTTACATTGATGTCTCTCACTTATGATTATTGTGCGAAATGACCACTAAGAATTGTGCGAACGGTCCAAAACTTATGCTAAAAGACTTGTGCGAAAAGTCTTTCGTGCGAAATGACCGGTTACCCTTTCAGTAAGTGGCTTGTAACAAGAAAAACTGGGGTTTCTACCATAGCTTACATGATCCTGGGCACTGGTCAACTTCTCATCATTTTTCTTATAGATGGATTGAGTTGATTGCTTGTCAAATGACAAATTGTGTTGTTGTCCTTTTTTTTTTAAGCATGAACAAGAGAAACAGTCTGGCAAAAATTTTGAAAATGTTCTTGTAATAAAGCAAAACAATTAATTTGGGGGAAAATTCAGTTGCTCGTATCAAACTGACCTTTTGCTTTCAAATTCAAGTGCATGGTATTAAGAAAAATATAGAGAGGCAGCAAGGTGTGATTTGGCTTCTCACATTAATTTAAACATTATAAAGATGATGTCCACTGTAAAATACCAAGGTCCTAAGTACTTCAGCTTGCAGTGAGTAAAAGATGAAAGAACTAAATTCTCATCTCCATTTTCCCCAAAAACATCCCCCACAATTACAATTTTTCCTGTACCTTGTCAGAAGCCCTGGCTATAGTTTTTTCCCTACTTTTGATACTCACCCCTGTATAGGCCTCCTGAAGTTTAGATTGCCACACCACTTTCTTTGCATTTTACATGTAATAAAATAATCAATATATCCCTGTACATTGTAATTATTTTTTAAAAAACAGAGTTATCCATCAAGACAAAGTAAAGGCACTATTGGGGCTTTTACAACCTGACAGGCTAAACCCCTGGTTCAACTCTGAGAACCCAATCAAAATGTCATGTTGGTACATGTATACAGATACAGCTGTTAGATGCATGACTACAATGTACATGTGACTTACAAACATTGGCTGTTTTTGAATCATCTCCATGCAGATTGGCCACTCTGCAGATGTAGCTGGCATCATTAAGGACTTGAGAAATATTAAGAGTATTTGTGCTACAAACTTGTGTTAGGTCATTGCATGGAGTCCAAGTGTACGTAGGTGGAGGATTCCCTTCTGCTTCACAATTAAGCGTTACATTTTCTTGTACATCAACCAAATACTCAGTTTGAAATTTAACAATTGTAACTGGATCTGTACATCAAATTGGAAAATAAAAAATCAGATTAAAAAACAGCATCTACACAAAGATACATCTGAGTAACTTGCCTTCAATGAAGAAGTGAAGAAGTGAAGAAGTGAAGAAGTCTTTAACAAACCATAAGATAAAAGATACATATCCTATGTTACGTAAACAGGAAACTGTGTAATGATAATTACAATAATATACTATGGCCAGAATTAAATTATGTAATTATAACAGGTTGTGTTAAAAAATTAGTCTATTCACAAATGTGTTCATGAAACATTCTGTGTTCTTTGGGCGGAGGCAAACCTTGCGATGTAAATTATATTGCTGGGGTTTAGGCTTCAGCAGAATTTCATTTAACGGATGATGGCTTAGGGCCCTAGCTCTACTAAATAATTTCTTATCCTGAATATGCATGATATCCTTGACATTCAATGGAACTGAAATATAATGCTGCTGGTAACATCTGTTTAAAAAGTTCTGTACTGTGTTTAGATCACGTTTATACACACAATACACTGAAAGACCATATTAAGTTAAATTAGGTAATACACTTGTCTTAAAAAGGAGATATTTTTCATTCTGGTCATATTGTTCCTTTCTCAGAGTTCTTAATATATGGAGGCACTTGTTAGCCTTAACTAGTTTGACCTTAACATGAGAACTAAACTTAAAATCACTCTGGAGTTTGACTCCAAGTAAGCACAATTCATTATGTTGTGGAATGCAATTGACTGGATCAAAACTCATTCACTCAGGTATCAGTATTGCCTAGTACCGGTGAAACAATTTTTGAATCATCAACATATTTGAATAATGCAGGGAAGCCATCATATGTAATTTCAATATTAAAGAGATGGGGGGGCCACTAACACTACCTTGTGTAGTACACTTATTGACGGCTTTCCACCTACAGTGATAGTTACCAGACAAAATGCATTGCTGCCTACTGGATAAAAAACTGTGATACCAATCAACAAGATATGGAGATACATGTCATTGTTTAAGCTTGGTGGACAAGAGATTATGTTTCACCAAGTCAAATGCCTTGGAAAAATCCATGGTAAAAAATCGCACAGCTTTACAGTTATTATCATCTGGGTATTTGCAAATCTGGTGCTGAATAGCTAAGAGCGCAGATGTGCAATTCCCACCCTCTCTGTACGTGAATTGGCTACTGCTCAGGTGATCCTCCATGATGTGTCTGACATGTGTGTTGTATACAGCCCTTTCAAGAGCTCTAGCAATCACCAGTGTTACACTGATTCCCCAGAAATCACCATTCTCCTTGGGTACATCAACCTTAGGTAATGGAATGATGTTTGCTCTTCTCCAAGATTCAGGCCAAGAATGAGTTGACAGGGAAATATTCCACTTATGGGAGATAACTGGGGTTGGTAGTTTCGCGTGTTCTTTCAAAAACTAAAAAGGAATTTCGTCCAGGCCAGTTGCCATTTACTTCAGATTAGACAGAGTCCTCCGGACAAGTCTGCAGGGATTGTTGGAGCCTTGACATCTGGATCAATGTGAACATCAACTCGTTGAATGTAGTTATTGTTGCTGCATAGATTTCCGAAGTACTCATTTAACTGGTCAGGTGACTCACGATCTAAGGAAATAAGAGTTGCATTCCTTTGTTGCAATACCAGATGAATGCCTTTCCACCATTGCTTTGAGCCGATCACACCCTGTTTATACAGCTTTCTGTTCTCAATGATCACTTCCGAAATCCTCTTATTCAACTCTTTCAGCCAAGCTTCATCAGACACCCCTAATTTCCACCTCAACATGGCTTTAACAAGAGGAGTTATCCAGGCAGGGTCATGTGATGGCATAGTGACCACCTTTACTGGCATACACCTATCCAACTGACCCCCATATGGTTGTCTCCAGTTTGTTCACCACCTCGTTTACATTCTTGGTATCAAGTACCTCTTGCCAGTCCTCTTCTACTGAAGCCACATACAAATCCTGTTTCCTATGTAGATGTCTGTCCTGGCTGAGAACTTTAAGACGCATAGGGCAAAGTTTAGATCCTGCAGGCAAAATCACAACTCGATGATGCGATTTTGTTGACACGTAAGAAGGGTAACACCTTGTAAACAAATCAAGCTAGTTCATTAAACAGTTATCCAAGTGTGAATTACCACATGTCGGGAAATCAACCAGTATATTCCAGCCAGACAATTGTTGTAATCCATCCATGTCCAACTGATTGAAATCTCCGCCCAGAACAATGATGGTTTGTGTGTGGGCGTCAAGTACATTATCCGTGTAGTCAATAAAGATAGTTCATTAGATCGTTCTCTGCATAACTATGTTTAGGCAGGTGATAAATTCCAAACACAAGAAATCTGCACCCGTAGGGAGGCAGAGAATGATGCAAATTACTTCATAAAGCCTTGATAGCTAGCTTCGTTAAGTCTCAATAGCTAAGGGGTTCAACCCTACCAGATGGTATTTGCAAAACATGGCTCCTGAAGTTAATACCCAAAGGAATAAATCAAGCCTTCTATGCAAAAAATCTAGCAGATACACCCATTTCTAAATGACACACTTAAATTGACACAAAATTGTAATGCCTAATTTGAGTTTTGTGGTTTTAATGAAATTGCTATTGACTGGATGTTAACGGGGTGATCCTCTTACCATTCATAGAAGCATGTTAAATAAACCATGGGTAAATAACTCATGTAGTGCACCATGAAATATGCTCCCTTCAATGTGAGTTTTTGTGGTTGTTTGTACATAGCAACCATTTTAAGATTGAAGGTCACCAAAAGGTGATTTTTTGAAAACTTGAGCCTGGAGTCCTGCATGGATGTACTTAGCCAAACATCAATACAAGTAATTGACAGCAAAACTTACTGCATTACAACACAAAAAATTTATAGAAAGTGCATCTCTGTTTAACATCAGTCAATGTTTTAGTCAATGCATACTCACAAGTAACATCCACGTAAACCATTTGGTTCTCTGGTTCACCAAAGCCATTGTATGCTGTACAGGTAAATGTTCCTGCATCACTCCTGTCAATGTTTTTTATAGTCAGCACTTTTCCTTCTTGCACCACACTAGTATTTCCTTGTTTCCCAGGCTTCTCTTTGGTCCAAGTGATGTTTGGTTCTATTTGACTCGATGTTTCACAGCTTAACTGCAAGTTTTTGCCTTCAAGAACTGTTGCATCACCTGTAATCCCAGCTCCATTTATTGGAACTAAGAGCAATCCAACAATTGCAAGTAAACTTCAAGGATATTAATTAGATGGCACGCAGATGTATAAGCAACAAACAAAGGTTATAATAAATGATTTTTAAATGTTTGCAACTGAAATTCACATGTGTTTTGATTGTGCAAATAATACCAGAACAATCCCTAGATTATAATCTATTATAAGTACTTAAATATGTCTGCCTTAAGAAATTTGGTGGACCTTCAAAAGGCCAATAATTTTTCTGAATTCTTTTCTCAGCTAAACTTTGCATTATTATTTTAATTGCAGTTTCCAAGAAATAATTGTAAAAATTAATATTGAGACCCACAGGAACTATTTACAAAAACATTTTTTTTAAAAAAAATTTCTTCAGGGACTTCAGTCCACCAAATTGTGAACAGCCAATTATAATATGTTGTCATAAATGCCTCCCACAATGTTTTTGGCTGCTAAACATAGTAATTCTTGATTTCAATCCTGGAAACATTGCCAAGTTTCAGTTGCATAAAGTGATCTTTGCTATTCCTCTGCATATAAAAGTAAGCTGTGAATGGGTGAAAATTAAATGGAAAATAGTCCTTGACTGCGAGCCAGGGGGTTGGGTGTAAGAGCAAGAAATTAAAGAAGTCCCAAGAGGAATGGCAAACAATTCTTGCTGAGATGGAGAAGGGTGTGAAGGAAGTTTGGGTTATTTTTATCCATTAATGCTGTAATAATTTTTTTTCACTTATCTCAAGGAGCATCCCAATTTTGAGCCTTTTATTTTCTGCACTTTAGGTGTTTGATTCACATGGGACTTCAAATGGTATGTAAGGCACATACATGCGATGGCATCATTGTACTTAAAAGTTTGGTATATCATTAAAAACAAACCTTGTCTTACGTCTAAAAACCATTTGGTTTGTCTCTTAAAACTTTATCTGCAATTTAGATCTTTGATTCTTAATTAACTAACCTGAAACTAAATGAATTTGTTACAAGGGATGTAGAAGGTTTTTTTTCCGCTAAGAATTCAAATTTTCCAATTTCAAACTGCATTTAAACAAGATCTAGATAACAGTATACTACAGTTAGGGTACGCCTTTCTCATAGTCAGCAACACTCTCATGCTTACCTATGACATGCACCTGAATTGCTCGTTTCCAAGTATCGCCGTTGGCATCACTTAATTCACAGCTAAATTCTCCATTAGACTTATCGTCAGCAATAGTGACGGGAGAGATTGACAGAGAAGCACTTTGTGGAGATGCCCTTGCGTTGAATCGTTTCTGAAATTCAGCTCTGATAGGACCTGATGCTGAACCATCTGCTCTAATGCTGATTATACCAACAGCGTTGAATTTTATGACAAAACCAAGACCAAGACCTACTGACACATTGAAGTTCCAGTTCAGTGTGGCAGAAGATCCTTCATACACCTGTACAATGCCAGGGGGGAGCACTTCAGCGGTATTTGATGTTGTCCTCTCAGGAGAAGGTTCATACCATGTGACACTTCCGCCATCTGAAGGAGAATATTTTAGATCGCACTTAAATTACAACAAGTTATGCTTTCGATTTTATAAAAACAAGAACAGCTTCCCTTTGATTTTGAATTAAAACACCGTATACATTCTAAAAGGCACCATAATCTGCTGTTGTCGATATAAAAAAATCATCTAAACAGAGTGCATCGTAAGATGAAACTATCGAGTTCTGTTACGAAAGAAGAAGGTAAACACTGAAAATTGCTGTACAAATCGAAAAAAAATTTAATCCCAGATAAATACATTACCTGTTGGTTGGGGTATAAGGAAAATACACACACAAATAAATTTGAAATGACGAATCATTTCAGAAACGTCTTTGTTTCCCAAAGATGAGTATGCCGAGCCTGATGAAGACATCATCGCCAGGAGTAGACGACCAAGACGGAACACATTCCTCAATCTTGTGCGCAGGGTCATTTTTGGCTCGTTGTCAGCGGTATGGTCGGCAAATAATAATCCTAGGTACGTCATGTATGGGTAATTGTTGTCTACTCAATAATTATTATGTCCTACATACTTCACATACAGTAAGGTCCATAATAATTCCCAATACATGACTTGCTTAAATAATGACCTCTGGGGGTTGCGCCTAGATCTTACCGCTCGAGGTGCAGTAAGGACGAGTTTCCGAGTCGGGTTATCATTAGAACGTCAGCATTTGTAGCCATCGTTGTAGTTATGTCCTCACACGTAATAACCAAGAGTATGCGGTTTTATTTCTTCCAATCCAAGTGCGTTGTGATTGTGTCTTCTGCATGTCACTTCCCAACTAGGGTAGAGAAGTAATGCAAAAGTGTAAGAACATCGCAATGATTTCCGCGCTCAAAGTTTGAGAATTTCATGGGCTATCCTTAAAACCTTTTGGGACGCTTCGGATGAGTGTCACGAAAGCAGGGACCTGAGACCTAAGACCAAAGACCTATGACCCCTCGAAAACTAAGCCCCCTTGGAAAACTTTTGAGTACGGGATATTTTAAAAGAAAGAAGAAGCCAAGGTGATCTTTACAACCTGGAGGGATCGTGAATTTTGCTTGAAGTGTATACATGCAAGCCACTGAGCTGCAAAATTCAACGTTGATTATAGATAAGTAAAGTTTTCACGGCTAAATTTACACTATACTTAATTCAGAAAGAAAAAGTGAGCTTTCTGTTTTACTTTTCTAATTAAATAAAACTCACCACGCATTAGTGTGGACGGGGCCTTATTAAAGAGTGCGTAATTAACGGTGACTTACGTCAGCGCAGCAGAGAATGCTTTCGATGTGTTGCGTTTCGAGCGAAAGGCCGTTTTGACGTATTGTGCTAAAATAAGTTGCTTGTTTTAAACTTTCGGGAAACTGTAAACGCAATTTTTAAAATCATTTTTTCCAATCGCGGTTCTCGTGCGTGACTTCCGGTAGTATTCTTCAAGCAATAAAGTGTTGAAAGGACACCAATTCAAGAACAGCTCAGTTCATCTTCCTCCGCGTGGTAGAGCTTTTGTAAAGAATAAGAAAGATGGTAAGCTTATTATTATTATTATTAGTATTATCTATCTTTTGAACCAAATACTGTAAAATTAGTGTGAAGCAGATTGATGGTAATGTCGTTTTGCGACCTAGCGACCGCATTTATTCCTGTAAACACTCAACTTTCATGACATAAAACAAAGGAGACGCCAAGATATGTTTGGGACGTTGGATATGTTGTGATTCATAATGGTACTGGGACCGAATGGACTCCAATTCGGCCTGTGATCATACAAGTCTCCAACAAAATCGGACGAGCGCGAAGCGGGATGACGAGTACGATTACAGACAGAATTGGACGACAAGAAGTCCTGTTACCAATTAATCATAACCATTTCAATTTCCGAAAAAACAAGTACACCAAGAACAAATATCTCCAGTGGAGACGATGCCTTTTGTTTAAAATTCCTCCATTTTGGAAATTCCCTAGTTTTTCATGGGATAAGTGGTTGTTGCTATGGTTATTGTGATCATTTCTGTGATTAGTGGATTAGCTGAGTGGACCAAAAGCCAATACAAGCTACAGAATCACAGGGGCCATTTAAACGGCGCTCGATTTACATTTACATTCACATATATCATCTTGCAACATCTATAACAGACATATTCGCAAGCTCCTAACTAATAACTAAAGCACTACAACTTAGAAATAAAAAATAGGAAAATAAAAAAATATAAATAAATAAATCGAAAAAGGTAAACATCACACTAAAAAAATGTAGTCAGAGATGGTGGCTTTAAATTTTGCAGTTGAATCCAATATCAAATAATCAGGTGGCAGGCTATTCCAGTCAATGATAGTTCTCGGCCAGAAGCTGTATTTGTACGTGTCAAAGGATGGCTGAAGTGGGATAAATTTCAGTGGATGAGATGATCTGGTTTTTAGGGAAGACTGATGATGTACATAGCCGGGGATATCTATAGCGGTCTGGTTGGTAACACATTTGTACATCATTGTCAGTCTAGCTACTTGTCTTCTTTTTTCAAGAGTTGGCCAATTAAGTTGCTTTAGAGCATTGGATACGCATCCCTCCTCCTTCGTGTAAGTTCTTGTTACGAAGTGTGCTGCCCTGCGCTGGACCTGTTCGAGTCATAATTTCTGATATGCTCTGTACGGATCCCACACAGTACAACCATATTCTAACACTGGTCCCACTAGCGATTTTCAAGCCTGACCTTTAACCTTCTGTGGGCAATGATGCAAGTTCCTCTTGACAAAGCCAAGAGTCGATTGGCTTTGTTTGTAATGTTCAGGATTTATGGCTTCCAGTTTAGGTCCCCTGACAGAGAAACTCTGAGGTAAGGATAGTGGTATACAGCCTGCAGGGTATGGCCAAGCACAGTGTATGGGTGTATAAAAGGACACTTGGTTCTGCAAACGCGTAGAACGTAACACATTGATGGAATGAAGGCCATTTGCCACGTCTTTGCCCACTCAACTTATTTGTCCAGATTAGATTGGAGACTGATTGTATCGTCGGAATTGTATACCAGACCATACATGTTCAGAATGAGGGGTCTTTTGATTTTTTTTCGCCGCAAAAGCTAAATTTTCCAGCATGATAGTCAAAACGGCCTTTCGCTCGAAACGCGGCATATGGAGAGAATTCTCCAACGTATATCGTAAGTAACTAAGTGTTGAGGACTGAATTGAATTATCGTGAAATTCTTAAAAGTCGTGACTCGAACTGTATTCAAGTGTTGGGTTAGTTAATTGCACTGTAATTGGCGATGAATTCAAATACGGGCCTTAGTTTTTGAGTGTTTTTCAAGTGCGAAAATGTGAATCCTAAACCAGTCTTTCGAGGGGTCTTAGTTTTCGAGAGGTCGTAGGTCTTAAGTCTTAGGTCTTAGCTTTCGTGACGCCCCGCTTCGGATTGGTGAAAGTAAGATTTTGGTAGCGTTTTTAAAAGTAAAAGAGTTAAAACTAAGGCTAAAACTAAACCACGGAATACCTATACTAAACCCTTAGCCTATTTAATTTGTGTCAATATTTCAATTTTTTCTAGTGTTCAGCCAATAAATTCAATCTACTTTACAGACAAAGATAGCGGCTGTACATTTTACCATAATTCTTAGGGTTAGGCACATGCAAAAAGCTATATTTAACCTCTTTTGCTTGTATTTATGACTTCTAGGATTTTCTCACGCAAAGAGTTCTGGGCGAATGTACCAGTCGCCATGTGACCGCTATCCGAAGCGTCCCAAAAGGTTTTAAGGATACTGTGACGATAAGGTTTTCGCGCACTAAATTTGACTTCGCGGGAAACGTACAAAACGGGGGAAATTAACTCGGTAGAGACCACTCGGCTTGCGAGAACGGAAACTCGTCACGATTTCCTGGCACACGGAGGTCTACTTCGAGCGAGCTTCTACGGACGGACGGTCGTGTATGTAATCGGCACGCCGTCGTGCATGTAATCGAAAAAGCTTTACAAAGTACTTGCTTAAATATGAACTGGTATGAGGTTCCATTGTTTTCTCTACCATATTTGAACAGTATAACAAAAGAAGCGCAAAATGTTTCTTTGAAGTTAAACGAAAGCTACTCAAATATTCCACCTGTTTCTACGACGAAAAGAATCTCAAACTAAAAAGACGGATGCAATAAACTAGAGGCCATTAGGAAACTTAGGTGAGAATTCACAGCTCTGATAGAGAAAATAAACCTATCTTAATTAAAGTAGAGCAGCTTAGGAAATAAAAGTGGAAAAGTAATTGAAAGTTTCTTCTTATCTATGCAAGGTTGGTATGGAAACTATCGTGTGAAAAGAAATTAAAATTACGAGTATAAACTCAGCTGCCAACTACCATAAGAACCAATTTTTCCAGAATGACCATTAACACTTATATTAACCTAAGATTTCACTATTAGATCCTCGCAGCTAAGAACACTACTGAAACGAGTAGTTGTAAAATAGGACCTAAAAAAAAAATTTCAGGCCCGTACGGGATTTAAACCTATGACCTCTGCGATACCGGTGCAGCGCTCTACCAATTGAGCTAACAAGCCAACTGGGAGCTGGTCAATGAATTGGGTCCAAATAAACATCCAAGTGAATGAAGATTTTAGATATATGAAAATTTCCATCTTCATTCACTTGGATGTTTATTTGGACCCAATTTGGACCCAGCTCCCAGTTGGCTTGTTAGCTCAATTGGTAGAGCGCTGCACCGGTATCGCAGAGGTCATGGGTTCAAATCCCGTACGGGCCTGAAATTTTTTTCAGGTCCTATTTTACAACTACTCGTTTCAGTAGTGTTCTTAGCTGCGAGGATCTCCTAATTTCATCTTTCCACCGCAGTGCAAATATGTGAATTTTCATATATCTAAAATCTTCATTCACTTGGATGTTTATTTAGACCCAATTCATTGATCAGCTCCCAGTTGGCTTGTTAGCTCAATTGGTAGAGCGCTGCACCGGTATCGCAGAGGTCATGGGTTCAAATCCCGTACGGGCCTGAAATTTTTTTTCAGGTCCTATTTTACAACTACTCGTTTCAGTAGTGTTCTTAGCTGCGAGGATCTCCTAAATTCATCTTTCCACCGCAGTGCAAATATGTGAATTTTCATATATCTAAAATCTTCATTTCACTAGTAATTATGAACCAAAGTACCGACGTGCAAGTACATACTGGAAGCGAGTAACAAGCAAAATCTATTCCAAAAGCTACTGTGGTTTTTTTTAAAATATATTTTTTGAATTACTAGAATGAAAGAACTTGAATGAACTCGAATAAATTGGAGTCAGTAAATTTTCCCGTAACAATCGCCAGTGAAATTCTAAAACTTTGAGCAAGGAAATCTTTACGATATTCCTTATACTTTTGCATTGCTTCTCTACCCTAGTTGGGAAGTGACATGCAGAAGACACGATCACAACGCACTTGGATTGGAAGAAATAAAACCGCATACTCTTGGTTATAAGGTGTGAGGACATAACTACAAGGGGGGCTACAAATGCTGACGCTCCAATAATAACCCGACTCGGAAATTAGTCTCTAGTGCTCTTCGGGCGGCAAGATTTAGGCATAGCCCCCAGAGGTCATTATTTGCGTAAGCAAGTCATGTATGGGGAATTATTATGAACATTACTGATAGTAAAGTATGAGTATGTAGGACCTAATAATTATTGAGTAGACAATAATTACCCATACATGACGTACCTACGATTATCATTTGCCGACCATACCGCTGACTACGAGCCAAAAATGACCCTGCACACGAGATTGAGGAATGTGTTCCGTCTTGGTCGTCTATTTCTGGCGATGATGTCTTCATCAGGCTCGGTATACTTATCTTTGGGAAACAAAGACGTTTCTGAAATGATTTGTCATTTCAAATTTATCTTTGTATGTATTTTTCTTATACCCCAACCAACAGGTAATGGTCGATTTTTACTGCAATTTTTAGTGTTTACCTTCTTTTGTAACAGAACTCGGTAGTTTCAGCTCATGATGCTCTGTATTTAAATGATTTTTTTTATCGACAATAGCAGACTGTGGTGCCTCTTAGAATGTATACGGTGTTTTTAATTTAAAATAAAAGGGAAGCTGTTCTTGTTTTTATAAAATCGAAAGCATAACTTGTTGTTATTTAAGTGCGATCTAAAATATTCTCCTTCAGTTGGCGGAAGTGTCACATGGTATGAACCTTCTCCTGAGAGGACAACATCAAATACCGCTGAAGTGCTTCCCCCAGGCATTGTACAGGTGTATGAAGGATCTTCTGCCACACTGAACTGGAACTTCAATGTGTCAGTAGGTCTTGGTCTTGGTTTTGTCATAAAATTCAACGCTGTTGGTATAATCAGCATTAGAGCAGATGGTTCAGCATCAGGTCCTATCAGAGCTGAATTTCAGAAACGATTCAACGCAAGGGCATCTCCACAAAGTGCTTCTCTGTCAATCTCTCCCGTCACTATTGCTGACGATAAGTCTAATGGAGAATTTAGCTGTGAGTTAAGTGATGCCAACGGCAATACTTGGAAACGAGCAATTCAAGTGCACGTCGTAGGTAAGCTTGACAGTGTTGCTGGCTATAAGAAACGCGTACCCTAACTGTAGTATACTATTATCTGGCGCACGCGATTGAGGAATGTGTTCCGTCTTGGTCGTCTATTTCTAGCGATGATGTTTTCATCGGGCTCAGTATACTCATCTTAAGTTTGGAAAACAAGGACGTTTCTGAAATGATTTGTCATTTCAAATTTTATCTTTGTATGTATTCTTCTTATACCCCAACCGACAAGTAATGTATATATCTGGGATTGAATTTTTTTTCGATTTTTACTGCAATTTTTAGTGTTTACCTTCTTTTGTAACAGAACTCAATAGTTTAATCTTATGATGTACTTTATATAGATGATTTTTTATATTGATGACAGCAGATTGTGGTTCCTTTTAGAATGCATACGGTGTTTTAATTCAAAATCAAAGGGAAGCTGTTCTTGTTTTTATAAAATCGAAAGCATAACTTGTTGTAATTTAAGTGCGATCTAAAATATTCTCCTTCAGTTGGCGGAAGTGTCTCATGGTATGAACCTTCTCCGGTTAGGACAACATCAAATACAGCTGAAGTGCTCCCCCCTGGCATTGTACAGGTCTATGAAGGATCCTCTGCCACACTGGACTGGAACTTCAATGTGTCAGTAGGTCTTGGTCTTGGTTTTGTCATAAAATTCAACGCTGTTGGTATAATCAGCATTAGAGCAGATGGTTCAGCATCAGGTCCTATCAGAGCTGAATTTCAGAAACGATTCAACGTAAGGGCGACTCCACAAAGTGCTTCTCTGTCAATCTCTCCCGTCACTATTGCTGACGATAAGTCTAATGGAGAATTTAGCTGTGAATTAAGTGATGCCATTGGCGATACTTGGAAACGTGCAATTCAAGTGCACGTCATAGGTAAGCTTGAGAGTGTTGCTGACTATAAGAAAGGTGAACCCTAACTGTAGTATACTTTTATCCGGGTCTTGTTTAAATACAGTTTGAAATTGGAAAATTTTAATTCTTAGCAGAAAAAAAAACTTCTACATCCCTTGTAGCAAATTCATTTAGTTTCAGGTTAGTTCATTTAGAATCAAAGACCTAAAGTGCAGATAAAGTTTTAAGAGACAAACCAAATGTTTTTAGATGTTAGAGAATGTTTGTTTTAATGGTATACCAAACTTTTTAAGTACAATTATGCAATCACATGTATGTGTCTTACATACCATTTGAGGTCCCATGTAAATCAAACTCCCAAAGTGCAGAAAATAAAAGGCTCAAAATTGGGATGCTCCTTGAGATAAGTGAAAAAATTGCTTACAGCATTAGTGGATAAAGATAACCCAAACTTCCTTCACATTCTGCTTACCTCAGTTATCATATGTAATTGTGATAAGGGTGTGATCACAACATTGCACATCTGATCTTGGTTTGTGATTGCTACTCTTCATCTGGGGGAAGGAACAATTTGACAGATTTCAACAGTGTAAAGGATTCTTATACCAAGTAATGGTTGCTACTTGGACTGCTTGTAGTGATGGTGTGACCACAGAACGAGAATGAACTTGACTATTTCCATCAGATTTTCCAGCTCCTAACATAGAGCTGTCTGTTAGTGCTACATTTGGTTACATTCAAGAGTGATTTTATTTGATAAACCTCACATGGATTACATTGTGAAAAATAGTCAACCTAAAGAGGAATCAAGCAATTAATTTTTAAAGGATTTGAGATAAATTCAAATCTAAAGAGTTGTTGATTACTATATGTTGGGAAACTTTCATGTGTAATTGCAGACTTTTACACTCAATATTTTTAAAGTTTATCAGAAAGATCTTAATTTACCCTCATAGCAAGCACAGGGTGCAATTATCATTGGAAAGCCAGTTTACTGACTTAAGAAGATGTTTCCTCAAGCAAGTTAATCAGGTATAAAATTCTACAGCTCTAATAAAATTTCACAAAATTTCAAACAGGAGGGGTACCGGTATATTTTCAAATCCGTGTAGGGAATTTTGGATATTACTGTCACGTTCTCTCATCAAAATTTCACTGATGTGTGTTAGAGTCTTCAGGTCTAATTTCAAGGCTTTTTAGTTTTCAATATACCCCGATAATATGTTAAAAGAAGGAACACTTGCAGAAAAACTACGTTGTGCAATGAGTGGCAAAAGTCTGAACATGCTCTATTAATTTTTGAATTTTTCCTATAACCTTCCCCCATTTAAATGTTGCTTGGTGTTACAAAATGGTGACCAATTTCAGGAAATAGGTGTTTTTGGAGGAAGGTGGAACTTGCAAGCAACTTATTAGAGATGAATCACAAGATTTCTGTTTATTATCTGGAGTGGAGGGCTGTCATCCACCTACTTTTGGCACCTATTGTACGGTGTTAGTATGTTTTCTTTTGCTCCAAAGTTTTGCACAGACACAATATTACACTTTTGGTGACCATATGTCAAGGTATAGTTCTTTATACTAATAGATACACAAAAGCATCCAAGGGAGTCCAAGGAGATTCTCTACTCGATAGTTTCCTTACAAAACCATTATCTACATGTAGCAGTTTCAAATGACAGACCATGGTTCGATTCCAATAGACAGCAATTTTGATTTCAAGTTTAGAGTGGCTTTAACTGGCTGCAGCAGCACCTCTTGAAGGTTGCTGGTTGCAAGAAATCAGGGAAGATTGCTTAAAGCACAAGCCCTCCTCCATTTCAGCAATATTTTTTTGCCGTTTCTCTTGGGATTTCTTTAATTTCTTGCTCTTACACCCAACCTCCTCTGTCGTTGCCGGACGACAATTAAACTCGGCTGGTCCGTTTTAGACAACTTTATTCGCAGGTTTTACACTCGCAACCACACCGCTTTTACAGCTCACGTTATTACAAACTCAACTTATTTCACACACGTACACGCGACCCCTAGCAACGAGCTGACCTGTCATTCGTAACATAGCAACGCGGCCAGAGATGAAAGTACAGGAAGCGGGAGGGACATCCCTGCCCCTGGTCGAGACACAACGTTTCTTGAGACGATTAACAGTTCTACTCTTCCGCTTCCTCTAATAAACAAAGTTTAGCAATCGGTCTCTTTAACTCTCCGTGCTGAGTACGCACTGTAACTGCTCGAACTAACCCATCCCGCCCAGGATGAGTAGACCCGATTCTGCCCAACGGCCTTACACCTCGCGGCTGATTTGGCTCAGCAACTAGGACAACATCTCCTTCTTTGAGGTTCTGTCTCTTCTCTTTCCACTTCTTCCTCTCTGTCAGGCCTGTGAGTGGCAAAGTATGACGTCACGTTGTCATGACCGCATTTTTTTCAGTTCTAAACAAACTGTTCTATCCAATATGACGGACGCAAGCGTCATGTGAAGCTCCGTTTTGCAGACTTTGAACTCCTTGTTTGACGCTCGTGGTACATTCAAGTTATGCTGGAAGTAGAAGGATAAGGCCATAATATCTTGCAGAATCTAAAATATTGGAGAATTAGGCGAAATGGTTCAGTGTTTCACACCCGAATGTAATCACCAGTCTGAGAGTCATTGCTGTCGCTTCTTTGCATTCCCGAGCAAAGAAAAGAAAAAATCTGAGTATGATCGATGGAGAAGATTATTAAGGTTTGTATTTTAACTTACATATATACTGTAAAACCAGAATATCGCAGCTAAACTAAAGTATTGTGGCTTTCGGACTAATAAACATGGTACTTGTTGGATTGACGCTTGTTTCCTTCGATTTACTTCTAATAAAATCCAACTCTGATCTAAATACATTCCACATCTCTATATGTTTCAACAGTAGAGAAGATCGAGAACCAAGCAAACACAGCCGTGTTTGCAGCTGCCATTTCAGAAATGGCGAGAAGGTATTTGGGCCAGAGATTTTTAAGCACAACGAAGGAAAACTTTTCCCCTCTAGCAGTAAACCGCCACCAAAGAAGAAGAAGAAATTGGAAAAAAGTACAGATGGCAAGGAATTAGTCGACATCGAAAAAATGAGAGAAGCCTTGCAGAGCAACGAAAGTGAAGATCAAGAACGGGACGTACTCAACGATTTAACTGCTTCGGAGATAATCCTTGAAGCAGAAGTAAAGCAGCTGAGAAATGACCTTCAACAACATGAAGAGAAGTCAAAATATTTTAGAGAAAAATACTCAGTGTCTACGTTAAGTGACGATGTAATACGCATGGAAACCGGTCTTCCAACTAAGCAAGTATTTGATGTAGTTGTACTTTATACTTTAAGATTCAAAGACTCAATAATATATTTTCATGGCTGGAAGGTGGAATCAATAAGTTTTGAAGACCAGATATTCATAACTTTAATAAAGATTAGACAGAATTACACGAACCTTCATATAGCTCAGTTATTTTCATGCAGTGAAACTACTATATCTAATATTGTCATTACATTTATTCATCTCTTGAACGAGATTTTGTTCACTTTTTTGATGTCAACAGTACCTTCTAGGGAGAAAAATAAGACTTGTTTGCTGTCATCATTTACACAGTTCAGTTCTTGTAAGATCATAATAGATTGCACAGACATTGAAGTTGCAACCCCTGGCCTAATGAGTCATCAAAGTGCAACTTATTCTTCATACAGAGGTATGAATTCATTTAAAGTACTCGTTGGTGTGGCACCTAATGGGGTCATAACATATGTTTCTAACCTTTACCCTGGATCAACTTCAGATAAGGCTATAGTGGAAATGTCTGGTTTTTTGAAACACCTTTATCCAGGAGATCTTGTTCTTGCTGACAAGGGCTTTCTAATCCAAGATATAGTTCCGAGTGGTGTGTCTGTAAATATTCCCCATTCTTAAACAATGGTAAATTTACTGAAAATGAAATAAAAGTAACTAAGTCGATTGCCAAATGCAGAATCCATGTAGAGAGGGCTAACGCCAGGTTAAAGGATTTTAAGATTTTAAGTTTTATTCCTCTTACCTAAGATGCTATTCTCAAAAAATTTTTCAGCTTTGTGCTGCTCTTTGTTAATTTGCAGTTTCCGTTAATCAAGGAAGGTTGTACAAATGTATTTTTGAGTAGAAAATTCTCAAGAGAGGCTCAAGTCATGTTTTCGATGACTACAAAGATTCAATAGTTACAGTAATAAAAAGTCTAAGTTATGGCAATTTCTTCAATTCTTTTTTTTCTGCTTTTTGCTCTTTACTTAGGGTGTGATTCTTACTTTAATAGGCATGAAAGCATCACTCTAGTTTCTGTCTCTATTTTGGAAAAGTAGTCTACCAACAATTGAGATAGATGGATAGATATAGGTTATTCCTCATAACTTTAACAACTATGATATTCTATGATTATTTTCTTAGTTCATATAATCCTAACTGTACAAGGAAAGAAGAGAATCATTAACAGTTAATAATTTTCAATCTTTTCAATTGTTCTACAGAGTTGAACAGTAACATTATTTTTTAATTTCTCATTTCCACATAAGGTAGAATAAATATAAAGAGTACAAGTGTATATGTCTCCTCTTATGTATTCACACTTATAATAATTCCACCTCGATCATTTTAGGGTAGTAATGATGGAAATAAAAGTTTCTTAGAATATCAAGATTAGGTTTCCATTCCTCGTCTCTATGAATGACCAAAGTTACGTGGCCCTTGACAGTCCACACAACAAAATAACAATACATTCTGTTTGTGAGATGGAGCTGTCCTTGAATTTGATGCCAATACCCAGACTTGTGATCCCTCTTAAGCTCAATTTTGTCCTTTCGCTTCTCCAAATAGAATGATTCTGATTCTATAACTTCCTCTATGGTTGAATTCCTAAAGGTATATGGGCATTTTACTTCCAAAATACCTTTTTGATCAACTAGACCATCAGGTGTGGCACCAAGAATACCTGACTCTTCAAACCAAATTCCTGTTGGTTCAACTTTTAAACAATTTGACATCTCAAATGCATTCACAGCTTCTTTTTCATTGTTGACTCCCCATGTGATGGCTTTGACTCCAGATAAATCATACTCGCCCATGAGTCTTTTCAAGAGTGATTGTGAAACTCTCTTGGCTGCTAAGACAGGACCAAAATTACTAGCTGTGAGTCTTCCCTTTCTAAGCATTGACCATGCTGGATTCTCTCTTTGACCCACTGTGAGTTTTGCTATTTCTTGTATAGTACTACTTTGAATTTTGCATTTTTCCTTAAAAAAGAGAGCTGATCTTCCTTTCCATGGGCTTGAAGGAAGCCATCAGAATAAATTATTTCTTCGATTGTAAGCATTGGTAACGTCACCGGTTCAGGTTCAGGGCTCAGAATCCACCATAGTCCTGTGAACTTTCCATATTTACATAACGATCGGTAAATGGATGAACGATCTGCTTGCGTAGGTTCTCTCGATAGAGCACAGTACTGTTTCGGAGGAGGAAACATCTCAGTGACGTCCCGAACTGCAGGGCAAGTTGGCTTTTTTGGCTTGTTCCATCGACATTCGATGTCCGTACGACTTACATGATGTATGGCGTAAATGAACACAGCTGCGGCATGACTGCACTTGAAAGCGCCCTTAGGACATTCACACTCTGTCGACTTGATATTCAAGTTACTATCTACGTATATCTAAAGTAGAAGAAGAAAAATTTTTATTCTTTTAGTGATTTTATTGGTTGTAAATAGCTCTCAGGCGTTCTCAACGCTCCAATCGAACAGCCATCGAACGGATCCTATTTTAGAGGCGCTAAGAGCTATACTTTATGAAGTCAATATCATATACATCGGAGCCTATAATTTAGATATTAAAGCTATTGAGTAGCTTTTATAATTGATCTAATGATTCCCAACCGATTCACAAAATATAAACATAAACATACAAGAGAGCTTACGTACCGTAACCTCGTAGACTTTTGATCTCATACTAGCGTGAACTTTGCCTCTAAGAATGCCTTGATTATACATAAAACATTCTATATGATCAGATTTGACGTGGTTCTCCCCTTTTGCGAAAGATTTCTTTTCATCTTCGAAGTAAGATAGCAAAGAAGAGATTGAAAATAAGGTCATGATTAATATGGCGCCATACACAACGACACCTCAGCGTTTGTTTAGAACTGAGAAAAATGCTGTCATGGAAACGTGACGTCATGGCTTTGCTACTCTATTGGACACATGAGTAATCGGTTTAGTATCCCTTCTGCTTCGACTAGCGCAGTTCTCAGCACTCCTTTGGAAACCGTCCTGTCTGCTAGAATAGCCGTCAGCGTCTTCTTTGTACACTGTACTAGTCTCTCCCACGCTCCTCCAAAGTGCGGGGCACTTGGTGGCTGAAATTTCCACTCAATTTCTTTAGGTGCACAGAAGTTTTGTATCCTTTCTTTATCCAATAGTTTAATGCATTTCCGCAGCTCATTATTTGCACCGACAAAGTTTGTTCCATTATCACTGTGAACGCTCTGCGGTCGTCTACGTCGGGCAATGAATCTCTTCAATGCCAATTGAAAATGAAATGATCTGTTGAAAGATCATACACAAGTTCGAGGTGGCACGCTCTAGTACTCATGCAAGTGAAAAAACAGCCATACACTTTAATCTCACTGCGTCTTTCCTTAAGTAACATAGGTCCAAAAAAGTCAACTTCAGCGTTTCTGAACACCATTCCTCGATCGAGCCTGCACTCTGGTAGACTTCCCATTCGCTGCTCTTGCGGTTTTACTGTCTGGCGAAAACAGTAATACACTTGAACTTCACGTTCCGCACAACCTGACGACCATGGATGATCTAATACTCCTGCCTTATTTAATTGTGTAAGTGCTCAGTTTGTGGGCTGTGGTAGATACGATGTATTTCTTCCACAATCAGCTGTGCAAGCTCATGGCGTGAGTCAATTATTTTGGGATCTCGTGCCTTGTATGGTAGGCATTGTGCTCTCTGCAGTCTTCCACCAACAACTAAGAATCCATCTTGTATCTGTGGATCAAGAGATTTAATTCTACTTTTCTTGTGGATCTCCTGGCCCATCTCCAGACACTGTATCTCTTCGCTGAATGACTCGCCCTCTTCACTTGATAATTCTGAGCGGCTCTCAGTTCACTCAATGTAGGTGCTCCCAGTAGATGCACTTCCTTCTTAACTCTTGCATTGTTTGCGAATCGTATTACTTAACCTGTAACTCTTCTTAGTTTGGTCAGTGATGAATACTTCTTCCATCTTAACAGGACCTCATTCTCCTGAGATGCTCCAGCCCATCTTCCCTTCTTTTTTTCACTCAGTTCATCTTTCTCGCTGGGTGCTTTGACTTTATTCTCCGGTCACAGTTCTGCTGATTCATACAGGAACTTGGGTCCACTATTGTAGCGGAAGCCTTTGCCAAGGTCTGTAGGACTAAGTCCACGGGTGATGTCATCTGCAGGATTAGCCTCTGTTGGCACATACTTCCAACTCACTATGCCCGCCCCCAGTGTGGCCTCTAGATTGCTCATAATTGTGTGAATCTCAGACAACCGGTTGCAAACAAATGCTTTATAAGCGGAACTTATCTGGCGGATCCAATGTAAGACTGTGGTGGAGTCACCCTGAAAGATTATCTTCTCTATCTTTGTGGTCATTTCTTCGTGTTTCAGCTAATCGCACAGCTACTAGAGCTCCCATGAGCTTCAGCCAGCAGATAGACCAACTTTAAGGAGCAACACGGCCTTTTCCCGCAATAAGACTACACTCTACTATGTCATCTGTAAACGCACGTCTTAAGTACGCTCACGCGCCATAGGCATCCTGGCTGGCGTCACAAAATACATGAAGAGCTGTTTCTTGGATAGGTTTATGTTCTTGACGAAGAGTTATTGGAATTCTCACTTCGTCAAGCTTCTCTGTTTCCCTGTGCCATAGATCGTTTTCACGTGACGTCACATCATTTCCGGTCGGCCATATTGGTGTACCACTTTCGATTGCGTAATCCCCGTAATTTTTCCTCAATTATCATTCCCACAAGTAAAATGGATTCAAAAGAGAAAGAAAAAGAGTCCCAGAACAAAAGCGAGGTCGACTATTCTTTTCCGATATCCGAATACGCGAAGCAGCTGGATTTTCCAGTCAGAGATCGATATTTACAGAAAATAGCGGCAATTGGAATTGATCCAGTTTTAGTCGAAGGGAAGGACTTTAAGCCGGACTGTTTGCCTCCTGTTGAATCCACAGATATTTTGTGTTATCTTGTCTTGGAGACAAGTTTCTACACTCAGAAACAGTTTAAAGCTTTCCGAAGTCTTGAAGCATATAACCAAATGGTCTCTGGTTTTATCGCAAACGTGCAAGGCCACATAATCGCCGACAAGTTTCTTGTTTTAGCAAAGGTGAGACATTCCCAGCGTATGAACGACTCTCTTATTTCATGTTGGGTTATCACGGAAAGAGAAGGAACAATTTTGTTTGCACACTGCTTAGGTTGCAAGGCTGGCCTGGCAGAAACCTGTTCGCATATAGCAAGCGTGCTATTTTATCTTAAAATTCCACAGTTCTCAGTTAAATATTTGTCTGATGTTCGTCCTCCCCAAGCTTGGGAAACATAGGAGATTGTACCTTGTGGAGTTATCCCAATCAGCATCTTAACAGTGTTATGGTGTTTGTACGATGACCATGTCTGTGCTCTTGCGAGCAGATTTGATGGTCTATTAATAAATACTTCGAAACAATCAATAATCACGGTAGTTTTGTTTCCAAATGAATATTTAAAACACTGTGGCATAGTTCGCCATAAATCCTCACGTTCAGGCCAGTTGATAAGTGGAGCCAGGCGTACATCTAGCGCTACCATCCAGGATGAAAAAATCCTTGAAACTGTTGAAAGGGAGACATTGAAGCGATATGAAAGATCTTGATGTGGTGCGTCAAGTTTAAGTTTTATCAAAGTCATGACAAACTCTTGAAATGTGGTCAGATTCTGGGACTTGTAAGCAACAAACGGAGAAACATGTTCGAAAACATTTTGCAGGATATCGAAGGAAGGCAATCCAGTGTAGAATTTAACTTTTTCTTCGTTTTGTACAAATTCCCACCGATCAAATGGTTTCCGGTCAATGTTTAGAGAGCTGAATAAATATTCAAACTCTTCAGTTTGTGTGCCAGCTTCAACTGTTAATTTTTTCTCTTCGTCCTCATTTCCTTCAAAGCTGAGGTTTGAAACCTGTTCACCGGGGCTCATTAAGTTTCTGTCTCTTCGCCGTTCGCTCTAGTTCTAGCTCTCGTTCTCTCTTTTCAAAAGCCGGCTTCTTCACCAGTTCACGTTCCCTCGCTCTCTCGTTTCGTTTTGCCGCCGCTTCTTGATGATCTGCTCGATCAGTAGCTTTGTTGTGTCCCCAAAGCAATGTTGGAACCCAGTCAATATTAAATTTATCCCAGCTCTTAGCTGCCCTTCCTGAAACAAAATGCTTTTCGCACACACGATCGTTTTCTAAGATCTCTTCGGTCAGATCGTCACGGCTTATCGCTGAAATCCCGCGCGATCTTCTTTCTTCGGATAGTTTCTGTGCCTCTTCGCCTTGATTTGTGACCACAGAAGGCACCCTTGCAAAGTACAACCCTTTATCTCGTCCACTTTTGCTGCCACAGCCAACGATCAGACACAAAACCATGTTCCACGCGAAGGACGCTACTAGTTTGTTTACAATTGAGGTACACCAATATGGCGGCGTAGCAACGGTAGTCAAGGAATTGGTCACGTGAGTGAAAACGATCTATTGATGCCACTCTCGAAGATCAGATTCTTTCAACTCATCATCCCACCCGTACTTCATACGATTAAGACTCTGTAGGATGATCTTACTTCTGATAGGGAATGGGAGGAGGAGTCCTCGTGGGTCCTAAACAGAGAATGCTTGGCTCAAGATCTTCCTCTTTGTCATACCCGGATCACCCTTCAGTCTAGTAAACCGGAGCATATCCTCCTGGGCATCCCAAATGACGCCCAAAGTTCTGTCTGTAGGAAACTTGTCTTCACTCAGCTAGAGGAATCGTGGAGATCTATCTTGCTCTGGGATGGTCGCTAAGACGTCTGGGTCATTTGTCAGCCACTCATGTAGGTGGAAACCTCCATGGCGCAGCAACTCAGTCATCTGCTTCCGCATTTCAATAGCTTCCTCATGAGAATCCGTTGATGGTAGGCCGTCATCCATGTAAAAGTGCTTGTGGACTGCTTTTACACCCAGAAGTAAATCCTCCCCATTCTCATCAGCATCTCGCCTCCTAGTATAGTTTGCACTGGATGGTACAGACACTTCTCCAAACACTGTTCTCTCGAACTGATACACACTCAGTTCTTCTCTCTGGGAGTCCCTCCATAAGAATCTCATCGCCAGCTTGTCATGGTCAGGGAGGCGAAGCATATGGTACATTTCTTTCACATCAGCAGCCTCAGCAGCCATTGCAATTCTTCCTTCGCAAAACCTGAGGAAGACTCCAAACAGAGAAGAGAGAAGATCTGATCCTGTGTTGATCTTATCGTTCAAACTTTGTCCCATGAATTTTGCTAATGCATCGTATACTCTTCTGAGACGAACAGGTTTCTTAGGGTAATAACAAATCTGTGTGGTAATTACCAAGTCACTTTACTATCGCACTGTGCTTCTTCTTCACTCAGTTTCTTCACATAACCTTTCTCAATATCATCCTGGATTGACTTTGCATATCTCTCTCTGACCTCGGGGCAGCTCTCAAACTTCTTCTCTAGGCAGCCTCCTCTTTGCCATTTCGTAATTGTTGGGTAGAGATGGTTCCTCTTCTCTCCAAAGTAGGCCTGACACATACGCATGTTCACTCGCATTCTTAAAGGTTATCTTTTCCAATAGTGGCAATGCTCGCTTGACCTCAATTGAACGGGTTGGATCTGCTAGCTTCACCACACCTAACGTTTCTATCTCTGACATATCCTCGATCAGCTGCTTTAGCTCCTCATCTTCAACTGAACTTCTTTCATACACCTTTAAACCATTGTATGGGAGTGCTACACTTCGCTCACCGGGTAACCCATCCAAGTAGGGTCTCAACTGCATGAGGTACTCTGTCAACGTCCGGTTGACCAGAGGGTTTCAAAATTTGTTTTGGTAGAATCAAGTCAGAGGTGTTAGTTCCAATTATGAGTTGCACTGGACCTGTGTCGGTGTCACGTAAGTCCAAGTTCTTCAGGTGCTGATGCTCTTGCTTGATTATTGACCACTTCAACTTCTGATCCGGACCATTCAGGCTAGGAATTGTTTTCACATCTCGCAAGGAGTACTGGACTTCCTCTCTTCCGACTCGTACGACATGGCATTTCTTGATGTGCTTGTAAGTAAACACCTTCCGCACATTTACTCCTTGAATTTCGAGATCTGCCTCTTTGCCTTGAAGTCCAAATCAGAGCGCTAATCTTTCATCTATGTTGTGTTACAGCTTAAGTCACGCAATGCCATCACTTGTTGTTTTCCTGTTTCTCCACAACCTTTTCTAGTGTTTTCAGTAATTTCCAGATCTAAGCGCGAGACCCGATCATTCACACTGTCTAAAGGTAATTCATGCAACTCTTCATCAATATCGCCTTTATTCGACATACCTTCTTCCTGGGCGATAGCATCTTCGAACTCATATTCCAATCTTGATTCCTCAGCTTTCTTTTGAAATTCCAAAAGCTTTGCATACTGCTGTTGTTCGGCTCGCAGACACTCGATCTCATTTGCGAACTTTTGCTCGGCTATTTTTAGTTCAAGGGCTAACTTCTCGGCTTGCAATTTCTTTCTTAAAACGGAACGTTTACTTGAAGTAGTCGACTCACTTTGCGTAAACGGTCGGGTTGTTTCGTCTCCTCCTCTGTTCGAGGCACTCATCTTAGCGCGACTTCAATGACTCTTCACAATATTCAACCGCACGGCTCGATGATAAAATTACACGCAGTTACATGTACACCGCTGACTTACAGCTTGACTCGGCGATTTTTCGCTTGATTTCGCTCAATATCCGGCTCGAAGGACCAAATGCCGTTGCCGGACGACAATTAAACTCGGGTGGTCCGTTTAAGACGACTTTATTCGCAGGTTTTACACTCACAACAACACCGCTTTTACCGCTTACGTTATTAAAAACTCACAGTCAAGGACTATTTTCAATATAATCTTTACTCATTCACAGCCTACTTTTATATGCAAAGGTATAGTAAAGATGATTCACCATATGCAACTGAAGCTAGATGTTTCAGGGATTTAAATCAAGGATCACTATGTTTAGCAGCAAAAAACATTGTGGGAGTCATCTATGGTGACACGTTAAAATTGCCTGTTCACATTTTGGTGGGCTAAAGTTCCTGAAGAAATTCTTTTTTAAAAAAATATTTTTGTAAATAGCTCAATACTAATTTCTACAGTTATTTCTTGGAAACTGCAGTTAAAATAATAATGCTTAGTTACGCTGAGAAAAGAATTCAGAAAAATTTAGTGGCCCTTTGAAGGTCCACCAAATTTGTTAAGGCAGACACATTAAAGCACTTTTAATGGACTATCATCCAAGAGCTGTTCTTGTATTATTGGCACAATCGTAGTACGTGTGAATTTCAGTTGCAAACATTAAAAATTCATGTATAATAACTTTTGCGTGTTGCTTACCGGTATACGTGTCCATGCCATGCAATTATCCTCGAAGTTTACTTTTGATTGTTTGATTGCTCTTAGTTCCGATAAATTTCATTGGGATTAGAGGTAAACCAACTGTTTTTGAAAGCGACAACTTACAGTTAACCTGTGAAGCATTGAGTCGAGTAGAACCAAACATCACGTGGACCAAAGGGAAGCCTGGGAACCAAGGGAATACTGGTGTGGTGCAAGAAGGAAAGGTGCTGACTATAACAAACATCAAAAGGACTGATGTAGGAACATTTACATGTACAGCATACAATGGCTTTGGTAAACCAGAGAACCAAACTGTTTATGTGAATGTTACTTGTGAGTATGCATTGACAAAAACATTGACTTATGTTAAATATAGATGCACTTTCCATATATTTTTTGTGTTGTGATGTGGTAAGTCGTGCTTTCAATTACTTTAATTGATGTTTGCCTATGTACATCAGTGCTGGGCTCTAAGCTCAATATTTAAAAAAATCACCTTTTGGCAACCTTCAACTGAAAAATGGTTGCTTTAAAACAAACAAAAGAAACTCACATTGAAGGGAGCATATTTCATGCTGCACCACAGGAGTTATTTACCTTTTGAGTAATTTATTTGGCATGCATCTATGAGGATCACTCAGGTAATATCCAGACAATAGCAATTTCATTGAAACCACCATACACTAATAAGGTATTACAACTTCATGTCGATTTAAGTGTGCCATTCAGAAATGAGTGTTACAACTGGATTTTGTGCATAGAAGGCTCAATTTATTCCTTTGGGTATTCACTTCGGGTGGGCACGTTTTGCAACCCTCTTGTACATAAATGTACTGGTAGGGTTGGACCCCTTAGCTATTGAAGACAGGTCACTCAGATGTATCTTTGCGTAGATGCTGTTTTTAAATATGATTTTTTATTTTCCAATTTGTTGTACAGACCCGCCCAAGATTGATAATTTTCAACCTGAGTATATTGTTGGTGTACAACAAAGTTTAACTCTTAACTGTGAAGCAGAAGGAAACCCTCCACCTACTTACATTTGGACTCCATGTGACCCAGAACAAGTTTGTAACAAGAATACTCTTGATATTTCACAAGTCCTTAATGATGTTAACTATACCTGCAGAGTGGCCAATGTACATGGAAATGATTCAAAAACTGCCAATGTTTGTAAGTCACATGTACATTGTAGTTGTGCATATAACAGCTGTATCTTAATTCCTACATTTACCAACATGACATTTTGATTGGGTTCTCTAAGTGTGGAACCAGGGGTTAGCCTATTAGGTTATAAAAGCCCAAATAGTGCCTTTACTTTCTCTTTATGGATAACTCTCTGTTTTCTTTAAATAATTTTACAGTGTACATGCACAATATTTATTATTTTATAACATGTAAAATGCAAAGAAAGTGGTGCAGTAATTTAAACTTCAGGAGGCTTATACAGGGGTGATTATCAAAAATAGGGAAAAAAAGTCAGGGAAAATACTATAGTCTGTGAGGGATTCTGACAAGGTACAGGAAAAATTGTAATTTTGTGGGATGTTTTTTCAGGAAAATGTAGGTGAGGTTTTAGTTCTTTCATTTTTTAGTCATTGTAAGCTGCAGTACTTAAGACCTACGTATTTTACAGTGAACATCGATTTTATAGTGTTTCCATTAAAGTAAGAGAAGTCAAATAAAACCATGCTGTGTCTCTATATTTTCCTTATGGCCATGCGCTTGAATTTGAAAGCAAAAGGTCAGTTTGATATGAGCAACTGACTTTTCCCCTAAATTGTTTTGCTTAATCAGTAGAAGAACATTTTCAAAATTTTTTGCCAAACTGTTTCTCTTGTTCATGCTTAGGAAGAAAAAGGACAACAAAAAAAGTTTTCATTTGACAAGCAATCAACACAATCCACCAAAAAGAAACATGATGAGAATTTGACAGGTGCCCAGGATGATATAAACGATGGCAGTAACCCCAGTTGTTCTTGTTACAAGCCACTTACTGAGAGCAACAGACATCTCAATCCTCTTTGAGGTTAAATAACCTTAGAATGGTCCTAAATTTTTTACAAAACCCTGGTTTTCAAACGGAATACTTGTATCAAACAAAAGATTTAGTAAATCTTTTTGTTACGATTTTTCTCCACTTCACAGACATTGGAGGAAATGTGATTAACATAACTATTGTCATCACAAGTGAACCATGTATAGATGGAAAATACAACCAATCCTTATTCCTGGAGAAATTAAAAAAACCCGTAAGTTAATATACTATAACTTAGATATTGTTGTCAAAGCTATTAATTAAACATATTCTAGTTTACATGGAGGGACTTTTTTTTCTCACAAATAAATTGTGTGCCTGTGTTGGACTTCACTTCACCTGCTAAATTGTTAATTACAGGTGTCACTGAGTATGGGTTACTTCAGGGTCAAAGACTGATGCGCTGGTTACGTAATGATTAAAAGGAAATTTGGCTGGTGGAGAATGTGTGGAGAGTATTTCATTAACTTCTACAGTGTTTCTTGAATTCCTAGATTGCACATAGTCTGTCCAACTTCTGTCAAATCTTCAACTTGAAAAGCTAGTCACAACCTTCTTATTATTCAGTGTTTGCTCATGGTCTGTATTTAGGGCAATAAGAGGCCTGTTGCTTTCTTTCCAAATTAAAATAAGAGGCAAGTGATGAAAAGAAGACCACTCATTGAAGTAGCGCTTTAAAGAAACAACTGATTAATACTCAGAGACTGATTCCCAGCTAATTCTCGGCAAAAGCCATGTTCAAATTAATACATAATATTTGGTGTCGTCATCATTTGTTTTTATGTGTGATACATGTACACTAACATTTAAAGACAAATGATTGAAATGCTTACTTCCAGCTTAGGGAGGCTTTTGCTGATAAAACTGGCTATGAGGGAGTGCAGTTGATAGGTGTGAGGTATGGAAATTAATGGGAATTAATGGATTTAGATGATTGCCAGTTGCTCTTGCTTTCAAATATTTAAATTTTGTTATTTTCTCTTTTGTTATCTGTTTTCCATTTCATATCACCCTAACCCTCAATTAATATTTGTCTCTAGGTGTGGAATTATCATTGCTGACCTTGCACTGAAATTCAACTCCACTACAAAGGAACAAGATGTTATCATGACACTTAATGACGCTGTGAGAGATGGAAAGCTGGGAGAGTTCAGTGTTGGTGCCATAAAAGGGAAAAGACCTGATGTGGAACCAACAGATGGAGGTGCCACATCACCGCTTGACAGGTCCTATGTGGGTAAGTCTTCTTAACACTCCATACAAATGTTTTGCAAGTTGATTTATGAATGTCCTTTCCCTGTGCTTGGTTGTAAGCGTATTTTTTTGGTGTGAAAAAGGATAGTTTTGAAAGTTACTTTATTTAACTCAAACTTGGTACTGTAGCAAGTTTATACAGATACCTGAAAACTTGGTGTTTAATGGTAATGATAACAGTGACAACCAACCAACCCTAATTTGAGCACCAATAGGACAGTGTATGCATCATGTGAGCCCACTTTTGTTGTGCATTTTTTCAAGTTAACTGTTGATTTCTATGCAAACATGTAACGAATGATTAGTAGATGTATGTTTCCCAATATCTTGTGCTTTTTATTTGCTTAAATTCACTGTTGTTCAGAACATGGATCATTCATATCTTTTTTTTCTGAGATGGTTAATCGAAAAAAATAATGTGTTGCCCACCTGAGTCCAAAAAAATAGCAGCCATGCTTGTTTTCCTCAAATTAGTCGAGTATATTTTTTTAAGAATCTTTAGAGCTTCCAAGTGAGACAAGAACAGGTAAAGCATTCTTTAATGACAAAGGACAGGACTTTCTAAATGTTAAGCAGCGAGTAAGTTAATCTGATTTGGTACTTTCTAGACACCTGTGACGTTTAGTTTCCTGAAAATAATGATAATAAAAAAAAAAAAAGGTTACTGTCCAACTGAATCGAGCTTTAATTTTTGTAGTCGAAGGACACAATTTTGCTTGTATTGCATACCTGGTAAATTACCTCTCAAGGAAGTTGCCAGCTGACTTTGCTTCCGTAAATTAGTTCTATTCACACCATAATTTTTCTCATTTCCACTTGTTCAAACTTAACGCCAACATCGCATAAATTAGCAGAAATTTTAATTGACATCTCACCTTTACTTGCCATGATGACGTTGATGACTGTGTGGCGATTACGAAGTTGAGTACGCTAGACGTCATGTCGGTTCTCCACATGAACTGAAATAAAGTTACTGTGGAACCAAACGCTGTCTCATCCTTGTCGTCCGTAGCAAGTTCGCTTGAAGCAGGTCTCCATGTACCAGGAAGCATTGACGAGTTTCTGTTCCTGCTGCGAGTGGTCTCTACCGAGCTATCTTCCCCCGTTATTGTTATGAATTGTGAAACACAAAATTGTGGGAAGAAGATAAATTGAGTTCTGACTGAATTCCAAATGTTTTCTGACAGTAGTACAGAGGCAGATTCTTCATGATAAGATCATTGGAAAAAATTATCTGAAGCTTATCACGCATTGTAGGTATCATAGGTATTGTTGTTGGTGCAGTGTTTGGATCAGTTGCTGCCCTGGCTGTTGCTGGAATATTAGTTTGGTGGACTTGCTGGAAAAAGAGGCGCAACACGAAAGGCGCTGAAGGTAAGTGTTGCATACATGTTATGTTCTCAAATGAACACTAGTTTTGGCATCCTTCTATAACTAGGTACAATCTTCGGTTCACTATCCGCTGCATTATGATCTTTGCTCGAGCAATTCTACATTTTTAACAAATAACTTTTAGAACAGTGTATTGTAAACCAATAATTTGATTTGTTGTTATCTATTTTGTGGTTAGCTAGTTATAGTTAAAAGACCTCGCATGATGTCGAACACTTTAAGACTCGATGTACATCAAGCAGACTTTACTTTGCTTGTGAGAGATAAATTTTGCTTGGTGTCGATCATTTATTGTTTTGTTTTGTTTCGGTTCGCTTTTTATTTTTCTGTTTTTTTTTTCACGACAGAGGTGGCGATGAGCGGAAGGTGAGATTTTTCTCTCCAAATGTTGCTGTCTTTTTGGGTTGTTCCTTTATGGCTCAATCGTTTCTGCAATTTTAACACCCACAGTGTTTTTCATGTGAATGTTTGTGATTGATCTAATTACCACAACCTTCAAGGCACTCTTCCGCAGCAGAGATGCCACCATACACGTTTTGGTCAGTCAATTTAATGGTTGTCACCTGTACAATAACCGACATCTTAATGACCTGTAGAAAAACTTTTTTAAAAAAAAACAAGAACAGCAGCAACTTATAAATGCATGTAAGTTAAGTTTATTCTTTTATTCTTTTATATATGTAATGCAAGATAGTCGCGTGTTAGTTCAGGCCTAAGTATAAGTTTCCTGGGTGTCCCCTGTCAGTTGAGTGATCTTCCCTCGGTGATCTCATCATGAATAAAGTGCTCTTATTATCATTGTCATTATAGGTAATGGTAATAGGACTGAGTTGAGTCGAATGCAATCTGTAATCATATGAGTGATTTAAAAAATCGGACCACCACGGAGTAGGAGTCCGAGTTGTTAATAACAAGTTAATCAAAAGTAGGACAAAATTTAAGAAACTATGCATTTTGTTATCAAAAAAACAACGGGTTACTCGACAAAGTACACGACAAAAGCGCACGCACTTGACGCAAACTGTCCAATAACTGAGCCTATTAACAAGCATGACGCGTACATTGTCCTCCTAACGCCCAAATTGAAGATGGCGGTAACCAATCACCTTTGTACATTTTACAGTTTTGATGATGATGATGATTATTGCTATTATTATTATCATTACTATTATTATTATTATTATTATTATTATTATTATTATTCTCATTCTTGTTATCTTTGTCATTATCATTATCATTGCTCCAAAAGTTGATGGGTAACAGTTGAGTTAGTCTTTATGGTCGACAAATTTGTACAGGCTTTAGAAAGGAATTTTTGTTAATCTGACCATAGTACTGTTTTCGTTTACTATCTATTTAGAAGGTTCATACGGATAGAGTCTGTTTTTCTTCGGCCGCAGGAAACCACTCTGAACACACTTTACTCCACTGCTCGTAACTGGGGGAAATGAAACTTTTAATGCCTGAATGCAGAGGATACGAAATCCTCTCTGGCTATTTAAATTAAAATTCCCTTAAGGCAAATACATATGAGAAGTTAAGGGCAAGTCTACGTACTCTGCTCATATAGTCTGACTGTAGGAAGAGGGTACAGCCACACGTAGGCTATGACTGTAGGTGAGCCTATATCCGGTTTCCAGCTGCTTTTCGAACTGGACTAAGCTACCTGGAAAGTTTTTTCTGTTATTTAGGATTTTTCCGTCAGAGAAAATTGGGTTTGTTTCGTAAGATATTTCATTTGCTGTTTCAGAACATTTGGAAATTCAAGTAATGAAACAGGAAGAAGTACTGATGTAGGTGACGCGATGAATTATAAAATAATTCAAATAGTACGCGCGCTCTGATTGGCCATAAAACCATTTTACATGAGCGTATGTAAACACGGTTTTCGTTCCTCTTTCATTAGTTATTTTATAAAAGAAATGTAAAACGGTTTCCGTGTTTACATCAGGCTATGTAAACACGGAAACCATTTTACATTTCTTCATTCTTATGCCTTCATATAAAGATATATTTTCCTGAAGTCTTAGGTTTGTTTTGTTTTTACGTTGTCTTCCCACTTTGGTTGACGGTTTTCCTGTATCCAGGAAGTTATTGTCGGTGCAGTTTTTTAGGTCGATTATTCGTTGGTATTTTCGAATAAGTCCAAGTAAATGGGGGTTTATTTTTCATAAGACAGCTGGTCTGAAGACTTGAAATAGTTTTCCAAGCCTGGTAGTTTATCATCTTTTATTGAATTGAAAACAATTTTGTCTTTCAGATTGCAGTCGAATTGCCTAAACCTTCTCAAAGCCATTACATGGCACTGGAGGACAGAACTCGTTCACAAGTGATGGTAGATGCCAGTCCACTCAGCACTGAACAAATCAGCGAGTACGCTTCTCTTAATCCATGCACACGCTCTTGGGAAACTCCAAGAGAACATGTGACAATAAAGCAAATCATTGGAAAAGGTGCGTTTGGTCAGGTTGCCAAGGCAACAGCCGTTAACCTACAAGGAAGAGCCAAGAAGACGCTTGTAGCAGTTAAAATGTTAAAAGGTACCAAGAAGTAAAGTCATGTTTTACTTGGTCTTTGAACTGACGTAGAAGTCTGTCCAGATTGTTTAGTTTTGTTTTATATTGTTTTATTTTGATGTTAATCATATGCTTCTGCATAATTTCCAAGCTCTTTTATAGAGCAATCACATTCTATATGACTAGTCCACAATTATTTCCATAGCTTAAAGCTCATTCAACTTGATTTGGCGATGGAATTTTAAGACGTAGTACAAATATTCCGCCCTAATGATAGTTCCATATTAGAGCCTCGGCTCTTTACGTTGATGTATGTTTAATTCGAATAATGTCTATCTATCTATCTACCTACATAAAAACATATATCTTTCTATCTATCTATCTATCTATCTGTCTATCTATCTATCTATCTATCTATCTATCTATCTATCTATCTATCTATCTATCTATCTGTCTGTCTGTCTGTCTGTCTGTCTGTCTGTCTATCTGTCTGTCTTTCAATCTATATATCTTACTATCTATCAATATGTCTGTGTGACAATTTATCTATCTATTTATCTATCTGTCTGTCTATCTGTCTTTCTATCTATCAATCTGTCTATATGTCAATCTATCTATCTATCTTTTGACTTATCCATCTGGTTACGTATACTTACATAATGGTACAGTTGAATGATATGATTGTGATTCATTTGAAATGTTAGTGATCGGAAATCATGTTGCAGAAAACGCTTCTGAGTCAGAGAGAAAGGATTTGCTGTCTGAACTTGAATTGATGAAACAACTTAAACCTCATCCTTACGTTATCAAACTCTTGGGATGCGTTACCAAGTCTGGTAAATACTGAAATGTTTGTTATCAGCTATGGTTACCGTCAAACAAAATTAGCGTAATAAAATATGTGCTTATTGTTCATCGTGGTGTAAGATAGGAGATGAACATCCTTCCTGGTTAGAAAGAAGAGCCAAGCAAACGTGGCAAGCAGTTCATTCGTTTGAAGGGACTGTGCACTTACATGGACATAATAGTTGAGAGACTGAGACGAAGGCCACTGTTTTTGTAATGAGGTCACATGTGAATAGTAAAACGAAGATAAACCACGGTTTATCTCAATGTACATGTACTCTAACAGTGCTATCACTGAAACAGAGTAAGGATGCTTCTTAAGAAAAATAACAAATTCCAGGGGCGCTTATTAGAGAGGGGGCACTTATTGAGCACAGTACTGTAGATTTTACTCTTTAAAAGGGTGTTCAGTCGTTTCGTACGCACGAGCGTTTCATACTAAGTCGTTTCGTACCCAAATCAAGTCCATTCGTACTCAGTTTGAATCGGTTTGTACCAGAAATACTTCACGCACGAGTGCATGAACAGATCTCCGTTGTTGCGAACGACAAGAAAGTAGAGTCAAGCGAGAAAGATGCAAGCAAATTTCCGTTGTGTTTACCAGTGACATTCTTCAGATAAACAACTAGATTTTTGCCTTGCACTAGTTAAGTGTCATTTTTATTTAATATAGCAGTCTTTTGTTTACACTTGTGACTTTGTTAACAATAACAGCCAGTGTAACTGTGATTTTTTTCCTCCCCTTGTTATTAGAGGTAATAAATTCGCTTATTCGAACAAAGGAAAACAAACACCATTCGCTAGTCGCGTTTAAAAAAATGGACGCCACGGACTTAAAACTTATTTAACGTAAGGAATATTGCTATTTAAGATAAGAGGCCAAAGTTACGTAAAAGATACTTAACATATAAAACATACTTTATTCGTTTGTTCAAGAAACAACCCAACTGAGTGAGTACGAATTGACCGGGCTGGGTACGAAAAGACTGGTAACCTTTAATGGCGAGCTTCCATCCTTTTTCTGCAGAGTTAAAAAAAAAAAAGAAAAAATCAGCGGATATAAAATTGACAATGGAATTGACCCTATTTTTCGTGTGCCTCACTCCCAGAGGTCCGCGCGGCCCTGGTAGTCTAGGTTAAATTAAAGTAGCTGTCTTGAAATCAATACCTACAATGTCACTGTTAGGATACCTTATTTACTCTAATGTTCGCCGCGGTGTTTATTACGTTTTTATTGTTTTCGAAGAGTCCTTCGTTGAAGGATATAGTCCATCTAATTTGCCCCATCACTCCAATACCCATTATTTCCATTCCTGTTAACCTTTGGGAAAATCCACTGACCAACGCTTAAAGCTTGGGCATATTTTACTCTTACGTGCACGCTTGAGGTCAAGATAGAGTTTGTTTGACAGCAGAGAAGTAAATAGCAGCGTGTGTATAATCAATAAGTGAGATCTAAGATCAGCAAAATTTCCTGTAGGATTAAAAATGGACGGAGACTAAAACTGCATACATAAGGTTTGCGCACATGTTGCGGATATAAGCCGGTCAGATTTGAATACTCTACGAGGGCGGGAATCTTTCCGGTAGTAGACCATGAAGATAAAACATGACCTGTTATAGACAAAAAGGTTAGCACAATGTCAGTTCACCGAATTGTACTGTAGTTCATATTTTATTTTCTTGTAACCGTTGAATAAACGTCGTACTCTTCCAAGTGGCTGTGACGTTTACCGGAGAGTTACGTTTATTAGTTATTTTGCTTCTATCTGCGGCATGTAGTCAAGTATTTGTGGAACTTTGTGTGTCTCCCTAGAGCCAATGTTTGTGCTGATCGAATATGTTCCTTTTGGGGATCTGCTGGGTTACCTGAGAAAGAGCCGTGGATTAAATGATACTTACTACAAAGACCCGGATATCAAACCACAAACAAATCTGACCTCCCAGCAGCTGATGAAGTTTGCCTGGCAAATCGCTGATGGAATGTCCTATTTGTCATCGATACCAGTGAGTAATGTAATTATTCTTTGAATTACGTCCTTATAGAGTAAGGCCTCATTTGTCGCTCAATATACCTCACTTTCCATTGAATCGTGGACTCACTGCCCAGGATGTCATCATATGTCATTAGTCACCCTCAAGTCTCTCGTTTTGTTGAACGATGTTTCCAAGAGAAACGTTCTTTCTTTGTTTAAGGTTATCCATAGAGATCTTGCAGCTCGTAATGTGTTAGTTGGAGAGGGGGAAACGTGCAAAGTGTCGGACTTTGGAATGGCCAGAGACGTGCAAGAGAACAACATTTACGAAAGGAAAACGAGGGTATGAAGACATAATGTTCTTGTAAGCCTTGGATTAATGTGGCGGAAGATGCCTGACTGGAGTGACTGTTTAAAGAAAACAAGCTCAATAAATCCTGCTCTGTTTTCAGGGACTTTTGTGACACTGTTCTCGCCATTTGGAGCATTAGTACTTTTTAAGGACTACGCCAACTCCTTTTATCTTTACTTCTTATTCAGGGGCGTCTCCCTGTAAAATGGACTGCCATTGAGGCGTTGCTTTACGGAAAATATTCTACCAAGAGTGATGTGTGAGTACAAGGATGAAATGAGCACTGCATTTAGGCATAATGAGAATGGTTTTTTTTTATTACTTTTGTATTGCGGTCTTTTTACTTTTCTGGTGTAACGTCATCTCACTAGGGAGTAATTATACTCATTTTCACACTGTATTATGGGTAATGACCAGGGATTAACTCCTATGACCTGTTTACTGTGTCTTTCCCCACCCCACCCTCCCCCCCACCCTTCCGTTCACGACCGAAGATGTTTTAATAATTTTTTTTTGCAAATAAATTTTTTACTTACTTCAATTTATCCCGTTTATTTTACAGGTGGAGCTACGGAGTTCTCCTCTTTGAGATTTTCACGATTGGTAAGTTACTTGGCAGATAACCAGTCCAGTAATTTTAGCCTCAGTAATTGAGGGGACACGAGGTCATGAAGTAAGCAGGGTGTACCAGTCTCTGTAGGATTGGTTTTAGGTCATACCAAGCCAGTGTAGATTGCCGCGGTCGCTAACCTTAGCCGGAAAAAATTACTGATGGAAACACACCTGTAGAGCCTTTCATTTTAGAGTATCTTAACATTACCTGCTCTATTCAGGTGGTTCACCGTATCCAAGGATGGATGGAAGAAAAATTGCAAACTTCCTTCAAGAGGGATACAGAATGCCTAAACCACAACATGTGGATGATAAGTTGTATGTTAATATTGCGTTGTTGTTGTCGTCTTCCTGATGGCGTTTATCGCACAGTGGTATTTTTCCTGCTTTTTGTTCGAGTTTTATGTGAGCCTTAAGATAAAACCATCTTTACTTGTTGAACCAGACTAACAAAGGTAAATGGAAGAAGGAGAAGTACACCATCACGAGTTGATCTCTGTTGTAAAAATCTTTTGCCCTTTTTTTTATAAAAAGATGGAATTTTTAGACCAAAAAGCTTGTTCCTTAAGGATAGGTCGAACTGTTTCTACTTAAACTTGTTTTTGACGTTTTTTAGGTATGACATAATTACAAAATGTTGGAAAGACGACCCTAACTTGAGACCATCTTTTGAGAAGTTGAGAAACAAACTCAAAGAAATGGATAACCAGCACAAGGTAGAATTGTAGAGTTTACAAAGAGAGACTTATTTGTTCCTTATCAAATTTTGATAAAAATTTACCACTATCAACTTAACTTGATAACGGCGTTACCATAAAGGCTTCGAAACGTAGTTGATGGTTTCAATTTATATCGCTTTTAGAGCAGTTTTCAATTCAGTTTCGTTCGTGGAAATCGAAAGTGGAAACTAAAACTAATCCTAGCTTGATCACACACGTTTTCCGCGCTTTAAGAAGGTTGCCTGATTTTACTTTGAGTTCCGTTGGTTAATGTCGATGTTAACCTTTGTTCTGAGTGATAGTTGTGAATAACGAATAAAAGGGGTAAGTTTCTAAAGAAACTGTGCTGCTGCGTTGGTGGGAGAGTATAGAAGGTAATTTAGTGTTAACAACTGAGTTGAAAACGTAAATTGGCCACCGTAAAGAGTAAAAAAGCTGACGTTTCCAGCGTCTTCTTTCGTCAGAGCGATAGGCTAACGCTAACGCTCGAAACGTCAGCTTTTTTACTCTTTACGGTGGCCAATTTACGTTTTCAAGATAGTTACGAATACTTTGGGTTTAGTCTTTCTAAGGCCAGGGTTAATTGATTTTTTGACAATCAATGTAAAACTTCTCTATCTAAAATTAACTATCAGCAATATACTCTCTTTCTGGGTAAGAAAAATGAACGAACCCTCGGAAGCGTAACAGAGTATTGTATAATTTATACCCACTTTTCATATTTTCTCCCATTTTTTTCTTTTTACAGAGGCTGATAAACTTAAAAAACTACGATGATCGACTCTACGTTAATGTTGACGATCTTGCCGTGTGAGCGAGTGGAGCCCCATGACATCATCTTCTATTTTTCTTATATATTGCACCTTTACCCTTATTTTTTGCTGATTAAGCAACTCTTCAAAACAAGCTGTTTTACAACGAAGCAAGGCAAAGTGCAGCTTTGATATATTCTTATATATTTTTAAACTTTTATTCTTGGAAAGATAAACCATTTTGTATAAACGAGCTTAAAAGCTGCAACCCAAATTTTTCCCCCGTAGCGTGATATAAATTTTTTAAAAGTTTTTTACGCAAGCACACTCTATTTTATTTTGAAATGTGCGTACGAATCCACACAAAAAATATTCTAATGTTGCCGCTTTCGTTATATTTTGAGATTTGGCGAATGAATTTTTTTGTCGTAAAAAAATTCCTTTGTTGATTAAGGTGGCCCGATAGGGAAAACAGTCACGTTTTTTTTACCAGCGGTTGAACAGTGTTTAGATGGTGTTCATTAAGAAAAGTTTTTCGCAACATACTGTTCAATTTCATCACAAAATTTAAACTTGTATTAAGCTTTCTTAATGGTTGCTATGGGTTTATAATAGCCTAGTTATTCTTTAAAAATAAATAAAAACAATTAAAAAAATTTAAGGGCCTCCTAAGTTTCTATGGATTTTGATTATCCTTCGACATATTTACAGAGTACTGAGATTCTGATTCCTTTGTTTCACTTGGAATATTTGACAATGAAAGTCATAAGAAGACGTCCTATTTGAAATGTGCATCTTCTAAGTCTTGCATTTCAATGAAACAAAATTAGAATTATTTGTGCAAACTTTAAGCGATTTAGGCATTCGATCGAGAAATTGATAACTCGGGGATTTATCAATAATTATAAACAAACCTGCAATCTCACAAAATTTCGGTCTTTCGCGCTTCAGACGATGATAAACATGAAAATATACAGAAAGCCTAACCACACGCTGCTAAAACGGCTTCAGAACGGCTAGATCCACAGCAAAACAGAAAGTAAATTATGACATGAGCCCAGGAACTCTTCGAACACAGACATATTTCCGCTCCTTAGTGATTTCGATATCTCGGGTTCCACCTTAAGAATAAATGTAAACGACCATGGTAAGGCGGGTTACTTCACCGACCTGGTGATTCTGACTACTTGCTAACATATCCTGGAGAGATTTGCTCTAAAGAGACCTTGTTCCCAGCATAGTATGTTCTTGAAGTGTGTTCTACTGACTCCGTTTGTTTCACGCAAATCGGGCGTATGAAATTCCCCTTCGTCTTTATCTACTTCTTACGTAGACATGGGAACATAAACATTGTACAATCAAGGTATTGGTAAGACAAAAACAACGCTCAATTGAATCCTTGATGTGAGTCATATCTTAGACCTTTTAGCAATGGCAACACATCCGATTTTTGATCGGATGAAACTCGACGGCATTAAGGCTGCCAAAGGACTGTTGGTGCGATTATTTTTTCTGCTCGAATGCGCATGTGCTACTTGTGACCATGGCCCTAGAATTTCGTGCTCTTTAGATGTTTGAAATCTTTAAAGAAAAATAGCAGTGAGGTCAATTCAAATCTAAAGAAGGCTTGATTATCCTATTAAGTTTAAAAACTCGCAATTCTAACAGCAGAATGAGCAGTTAGATGGTAAAAATAGATAGAAAGAAAAAAGGTCTAAATTTACATTGTCAACAAGGGCTAGGCATTGTCTTCTAAACCCAGTCTGTAGTTGATAATTGGTGTGACAAGTGAACTGGATTGCGAATTATTTAGTGGGATTATTACATGTACAAACCAACGAAATGACCCAGCTCCCACTCGGCCTGTTACGTAGTTGAGCTAGCAATAAAGATTGGGACTTGTCGATTAGCTAATTGTTATGACACTTTGACATTTATCGAGTGACAGTTTTACTTCGAGTTATCAGAGTAAATTTGAGCTAAGGGGAAGTAAATTAAGTAACCAAGTTCGAATTAGCAGGGTTCTACCGTATTTCTTGTTTAAAATTTTTAAAACCATTCCAAGAGAAGTTGTTGTCTTGTATCTCTTACAATAAAATCAAAGCTTTATTTCGAAATTGAGATAATTGCCATCTCAACATGGGATGAGATAAAAGCGCAGGTACAATCTAAATAAAATCAAATAGGGCACGATTATCAGAAACTTCCAGTACAGTAAATAACAAGTAATTACTGTTTCAGTTCTTCAAGTTAGGCTTCTTAACTTTCTTAACTTGAAGCCCACGGCAGGTTCTCATGCTAAAAGTGTTCTTGCTTCCCACGGTGTTTAAACGTGATCTTTAATTAGTTCTTGAGTTTAGTGGTGTTTGTTTGACTGCTCTTAGTTCCAACAAAAATCAGTGGAATTAGAGGTGAACTAACTGTTCATGAAGGCAGCAAGTTGCACTTAATTAACCTACGAAGCTTCGGGTCCACCAGAACCAAACATCAACTGGACCACAGAGAATTAAGACAGCGAACCAAGGAAATACTGGTGTGCGGCAAGAAGGAAAGGTGGACATCAGAATTGATTCAGGAATATTTAACAGTACCGCACAAAATGGTTTCGGTAAACCAAATAGCCAAGCAGTTTATGCGAGTGTTGCTTGTGAGTATATGATAAATGCACTGAAAAAACTTTAACTATAGTGCTAAACAGAGATGCACTTTCCAGTTATCTTTTACGTATTAATATGTGCCATCATTTATACATGTACCAACATGACACTTAAAGACAGAGATGAACCAAGGGTTCGCCATTCAGGTTGTAAAAGCCAAAATAGTGCTTCTACTTTTTCTTGGTTGATAACCGTTTGAGATCTTTTGAATAGTTGCATGTATGATATTGATTATTTTAATAAAAGAAAGCGACAAAACTTTTGAGTCTGTAAAACATGTTTCGACAGAAACCTCTGTCATCTTCAGTTAATTACTGTACAAAGCGTCGGAAGTTGAATTATGAAGTAGGTAGAACAGTGCTAACTATGATAAATAGTGACAACAAGAAAAGAGGTAAAGCATGGAAGTGTGAGAATTAAAAAGATAGTTTTAGATTTACATAGTGTAATTGTTGATTCAAGGATGGTTGTTCTCTTTGAATATGAATAGCCTCTTTTATCTTAAGTTGAAAGCCGGTAGAGGCGTGATTTAAAACATGAAAGTTATCTGCTGAGCAAATAGCGTGACAATGTGGAGAATTTTCAGATGCTTGAAAATGTGAGAGGCTCTGTCACTGACTAAGTGCTCTCTAACACGTGTGGAAAAATGCCGGCATGTTTCACCGACGTAACAGGCATTACAGCCAGCACATACAAGCTTATAAACCACATGTGAACGGAGCCCGTCAGGGACAGGGTCTTTCACACCAAACAAGTTGCTGATCTTGAAGGAAGAGAAAACCAGCTTAATATCCAAGTCATTGCAATAGCGCGTAATAAAATGGCGGATCTTTTTTGGAGTGATAGCAGAAAAGTTTCCTATGTAGGGTAGCTTAAAGTAAAACGTAGGTGAAGTGGTAGGAAGGGAACCCAGGGGATGATGATTGCTTTGGGTCCCACCGATGTAACGGTTTATAATCTTCTCGATTAAATGAGCAGGGAAAAGATTATTTTTTAGAATATTAGTAAGTTTGTTAATGTCCTCGTGAAACCCTAACCAGGTGTTATTAATCTTGTAAGCCTTATTAACGAGTGTCTTAATGAGACCCACTTTGTAAGAGTACGACGTGAAGCTGAAATAATTAGTAACCCATTGAAAGTTTTCTTGCGGTAAACCCTAGTTAGAGAGGAATAGGGGTCTTGGTTGTCAATAAGGACGTCTAAAAAGGATAATTTGTGATTGACCTGCTTTTCCATAGTGAACTTGATGTTAGGGTGCCTAGAGTTGATATAGTCGAAAAATATTGTGGCATCGCGATTTGAGTTACATAAGCAAAAAGTATCATCAACATACCGGCGATAAAATAAAATTGTAGAGCCAGGAAAATTTTTCAACCAAAGTTTTTCAAAAGGTCCCATAAAAAGATTAGCTAAGACGGGAGCAAGGGGAGACCCCATGGCTACGCCATCGATTTGATCATAAAAAGAACCGTTAAATATGAAATGATTCTGGGCGGTAGCTGTAGTGAAGAGGCTTCTAAGTTCAGATTTGTTTAACTTAATGTCGGGATTACCCTTGGAAATGTAATGGACCGCTCAGTCAATACACTCCTCAAAAGGTATGTTAGTAAAGAGACTTTCAACATCAAAAGAAACCATAAACTTACAAGACATAGATAAAGATTGGATGTCCTGCACAAAAGTAAAAGTGCCAGTGGCACAGTAATCAGTTGGAATGTGAGGCGTTAAAAGGCTTGTATGTCCCAATAGAAGATACGATGGGGCGAAATGGCGGAAATAAGTTGGGTTCACGATCCTTATGCATTTTGGGAAGGCGGTAAATTCTTGCTGGTTGGGAGCCTTTGGGGTAGATGTTTTCATACACCCCGTTGTCAAGATGACCATTTTTCTTCAATTTTCGGGGGAGTCGTTGCAATTGACCTTCTTTCAGTAGGGTGGGATCGCGTTTAATGGGCCGAAATTTGGAAGTGTCGTTGATGATTTGTAATGACTGTAATTCAAATTTAGTGAGGCAAGAAAACCTTCATAAACTTGTTCAATGCCGGGGGGAGACCTGAGCTGGACTTGATGTTGTCCTAATTCTTTAGTTATCAACTTCTCGATCGAATGCTATAATCTCTTGAACTTTGCACAGAATTCAAATTTTGTTTCATCAAAATGCAAAACTTAAAAGATGTACCGTTTAAAAGGGACAACGTCTTATCATGACTTTCATTGTCCAAAATTCCGAGTGAAACAAAGGAATCAGAATTCCAGTACTCTGTAACTACGTCGGGGAATACTTAAAATCCATAGAAACTGAGTGAGCTCTTAAATCTTTAAAATTATTTTTCTTTAGTTTTAAAGAATAACAAGGCCATTATAAACCATCCAGAAAGCTTCATAAAAGTTAAGATTTTGGGATGAAATTGATCAGTGCATGGCGAAAAACTTACTTTTCTTAACGAACACGTGGCTTATCTAAACATGGCTAAACCGCTGGCTAAAAAAAATATGACTTTCCCTTACTGGGCCACCTTAATCAATAACGGAATTTTTGTACGACAAAAAGATTCATCCGCTAAATTTCAAAATGAAACAAAAGGGACAACAGCTGCAACATTGGAATATTTTTTGTTTGAATTCGTGGGACATTAAAAAAAAATACATGTTTTGTATCAAAAAACTTATTAAAAAATTTATAACGCTAGGGGGCAAATTTGGGTTCCAGCTTTTTAAACTCATTAATACAAAATTGTTTGTCTCTCTAAGACTAAAAGTTTAAAAATATATAAGATATTTGTAAGCCGGACTTTGCATAGCTTCGCTGTCAAAAAGCTTGTTTTAAAGAGTTGCTTAATCAGCATAAAATAAGGGTGACTGTGAAATATAAAAGGAAAATAGAAGATGATGTCATAGGGCTGCAAAATTCATTACTCCATCCTTTCCTGTATTTGAAATCACTCGCTCACACGGCAAGATCGTCAACATTTACGTAGAGTCGATCATCGTAATTTTTTAAGTTTATCAGCCTCTGTAAAAAAAAAAGGCACGAAAAATATGAAAGATGGGTATAAATTGTATCATACTCTGTTAAGCTTTCGATGGGTTTCTTCATTTTTTCCTAGAAAGAGAGTATATTGCTAATACAATTAATTTTAGATAGAGAAGTCTTACAATGATTGTCGAAAAACTAACAAACTCTAACCCTTGAAAATCTAAACTCAAAGTATTCACAACTATCGATCAGAACAAAGGTAAACATCATTATTAACCAATAGAATCAAAGAAGAATCAGGCAACCTCCTTGAAGCGGGAAAAACGCGCGAGATCAGATTAGGATTAGTTTTAGTTTTCAATTTAGATTTCCATTTTCGACACTAAATTGAAAACTGCTCTGAAACGAAATCAATTGAAACCATAAACTACGCTTCAAAGCCTTCATGATGAAGTTTAGTTGATGGTGGTAGATTCTAACAATCAAACTTCGAAAAGAAAAAAAAAACAGACTCTCCTTGTAAATCTACAATCGTACCTTGTGCTGATTTTCCATTTCTTTGAGTTCTTTCCTCAAATTTTTAGAAGATGATCTCGTGTTCGGGTCGTCTTTCCAACACTTTGTCATTATGTCATACCTGAAGAGATGTCAATAAAAAAGTTTAACTAGAAACGGTTGGACCTATACTAACTGAACAAGCTTTTAGTATAAAAAAGCATTATTTTTATGAAAAAAAAAATCCAAAACATTTATACAACAGAGATGAACATGTGATGGTACACTTCTTTCAGTTCCCTTCGTTAGGCTGGTTCAACAAGTGAAGATGGTTTAATCTGAAGGCGCACATGCAACTCGAACAAAAAGCGGCACAAATACTAATGTCGATAAAAGCCATCGGGAAACAATAACATGATAATATCATACAACTTAGCATCCACATGTTGTGGTTTAGGCATTCTGTATCCCTCTTGAAGTAAGTTTGCAATTTTTCTTCCATCCATCCTTGGATACGGTGAACCACCTGAATAGAGCAGGTACTGTTAACATGATCTAAAATGAAATGCTCTACATATGTATTTCCATTTATATATTTTTTTTTCGCTTAAGGCCAGCGACTTTGGCAATCTAAATTTGCTTGGTAAGACCAAAAATTAATTCTACAGAGACTGGAACACGCTGCTTACTTTATGAGTTCGTTTCCCCTCAACTGCTGTGGCTAAAATTACTGGACTGGTAATCTGCTTAGTAACTTACCAATCGTGAAAATTTCATAGAGGAGAACTCCGTAGCTCCACTTGGATAAATTTAAGGAAGTAAAATTTCTTCCCTGCAAAAAATGTAATTAAAACATCTTTAGTGGTAAAGGGAAGGGGAGATGGGGTGGGGAGGGAAAAATGCACAGTAAACAGGCCATAGGAGTTGATCCCTGGTCACTACCCATAACAAAAGAGGATAAACACTCCTCACTGAGATAACCAGCAAAATAAAAAGACCAAAATACAAAAGTAACCAAATAACTTTTTGCAGACCTGAAAACTGTTCATACAAAACCATTCTCATTAAGCTTAGTACAGTGTTCATGTCTTCCTTGTACTCACATATCACTCTTAGCAGAATATTGTCCGTAGAGCAAAACCTCAATGGCAGTCCATTTTACAGGAAGACGCCCCTGAATAAGAAAAAAATGCAAGAAGTTGGCGTGGTCCTTAAAAGGTACTAATGCTCCTAATGGCGAGAACACTGTAACGAAAGTTCCTGAAAACTGAACAGGATTTACTGAGCTTGTTTTCTTTAAGCAGTCACTCCAAGGTCCCAAGGCTTACAAGAACATTACATGTTTCTTAAAATCATAAATACCCTCGTTTTTCTTTCGTAAATATTGTCCTCCTGCACATCTCTGGCCATTCCGAAGTCCGTCACTTTGCATGTTTCCTCTTCTCCAACCAAAACATTGCGAGCTGCAAGGTCTCTATAAATAACCTTAAACAAAGAGAAAACGTTTCCTTTAAAAAACTCCCTTTAACGAAACGAGAGACTTTAGGGTGACTCAGCTGACATGAGATGACATCCTAGGCAGTGAGTCCACGATTCAATGGAAAGTGAGGTTATTAAGTGACAAATGGGCCTTATTCTATAAGGACTTCTTTCAAAGAATAATCCCATCACTCACTGGTATCGATGACAAATAGGACATTCCATCAGCGATTTGCCAAGCAAACTTCATCAGCTGCTGTGAGGTCAAATTTGTTTGTGGTTTGATATCCGGGTCTTTGTAGTAAGTATCATTTAACTCACGGCTCTTTCTCAGGTAACCCAGCAGATCCCCAAAAGGAACATATTTGATCAGCACAAACAGTGGCTCTAGGGAGACAAACAAAGTTCCCTAAATACTCGATGACATGCCACAGATGGTAGCAAAATTACCAATAAACGCCACAGCCTTTTGAAAGAGTGTAACGTTTATGCATCGTTTATAGGAAATAAAATATCAACTACCATAAAATTCGGTAATATTCACAATTCTTGCAAATCTATTGTAGAAGCAAAGTAACCATAAGTTTTAAACTTGGAAAATCAGTTGTAAAGAGGTAAAATGACGATGCCACTGGACTGACATCGTGTTAAACTTTTGTTTACAGCAGGTCATGTTTTATCCTTATGGTCTACTACCGAAAAGATTCCAGCCCTCTTAGAGTATTCACATCTGACGGACTCATATCCGCAACATTTGTGCAAGTAAGCACGCAGTTCTGGTCTCGGCCCATTTTTGGTCCACCATTAAATTTTGCTGATCTTAGATCCCACTTATTAATTATACATACGCTACTATTTAGGAGACAGTATAAAACTATGATTACATCTTTGTTGTCAAATAAACTCTATCCAGACCTCACACGTGTACGCAAGAGTAGAATATGCCCAAGCTTTAAGCGTCGGTCAGCGTATTTTCCCAAAAGTTAATAGGAATGGAAGTAATGGAGAGATAAGGCGAGTCAAATGGACCATACCTTTCAACAAAGGCTTCCTCGAGAAGAATAAAAACGTAATAAACGCCGCGGTGATCAATAGAGTAAGGTATCCGATCAGTGACATTCTACGTACTGATTTCGAGACAGCTACCTTCACCTAGACTACCAGGGCCACGCGGACCTTTAGGTGTGAGGATTACAAAAAGTAAGGTCTCAACTTTTCGTACCTCTCACTTGTAGAGGTCTCCGCGACCCGCTTACATCAATTTTGTTCCCGCCGATTTTTTTTTACTTCGCCGGAAAAGGACAGAGTATTTGGATCAATATCAGTATCTGGGCAACTGCCCACCTACCCCTCCCCTAACTCAACAACAGTCAATTGACAACAACTTAAGGTTAACGTTGGGTTAAGGGAGGGGTGGGTGGGCAGTTACCCAGATACTAAGTAATTTAGTGTTAACAACTGGGTTGAAAACGTAAATTAGCCACCGTAAAGGGTAAAAAAGCTGACGTTTCGAGCGTTAGCCCTTTGCCAATCGCTCTGACTAAGGGCTAACGCTCGAAACGTCAGCTTTTTTACCCTTTACGGTGGCTAATTTACGTTTTCAACCCAGTTGTTAACACTAAATTACCTGCTATACTCTCCCACCGACGCAGCACCACAGTTTCTTTAGAAACTTACCCCTTTACCCAGATACTGATATTGATCCAAATACTCTTGTTCAAGCTTTCATTAATGCATGGTGTTTCTTACCAATACTCATACCCAAGCTAACATTGATATAAGGAATTGATCACAAAATATGTGAGTTTTAAAGGGTGGGAAACTGGAAAAGCAAAGATCCCCCTTTAATTAGGACTGAAATTAAAGTGGGCTCTGCTATTTTAATTCATGTTTTTATTTTAACCTGCATGAAAGTTAAATTAATTGGCATCCGCATAATGCACAAAGCAAGAATATACATGACTTGGCTTAATAGGTTATAAAATTAAAATAAGAAAGTTGTGCAGACCATATCTTACCTTTTATCCTTCTCTGGATATTTACTCAAATAACATAGTCACTATCAGTCCCTCTCACTCTCACTTTCCACTGAGCTTGTGGAAAGATGATAACCTCAGTATTTTTTAAATGAAGAAAGGAAAGCTTGCCCTCTTACCACAGATAGTTCTTTTGTGCATCATTGGTATATACCTAGTGTTATTTGTACATGAGGTTGATTGTTCTAGGAAGGCTAACCTAATAAATAAGTTGCGAAAATTTCTTTGTTTGATTCAATTTACCTGACAACCTAAACTGAATATATAGAAACTTGAAATGTATTTCTCCTCCTTTTGAGGTGTGCATGAAAATTTTGAAGTCATGGCAGGCTTGAACTACAGGTTTATAAGAAATCTGCATGTGTGCGTGTGTTTTCAACATATAAAACTGGTAAAAAGGTTGCTTAGCTTTTTTCATTAGTACACATTTCTTTTTCCATGAATCTTGTTTATTTGGCCTATGCTGAGTTCTAATTTTTCAAACAAAGTTTACATTCTTTAGAATATTCTTAGATCTCCTAGTATCAAATAATATTCATGTAATTAAAATAATTACATCAAATCTTGCAAATGTTTGGTACATTTTTCCACTGATCCTACTGACATTTCATCATATGTAGGGATTGGTATTGGCTATAAAAGTATAGTTAAATTAAATATTTGTGCACAGCCTATGCATGAAATATTTGTAATAAAATATTTTATCCTTCTTAAACCTAGTTTATCAGAATAAGAATGAGTTACCAGGCACAAGTATGGCTTTCACGATGATAGTTTCCAGGTTTGAAAAAAGTCACTTCCTACTAAAATCTTCAGTCCCTTTACCTTGACAGCCCAACCTCATCAAAGCATTGGGAACAGGAATGATTAGTAAATTAATAATACAAGCAAGAGAGCCTATTCCCACATACACCCTCCACAATCCTGTTTGCTTATTATGGACGTGACATTTCAAACATGGTGTTTGTTTCCCTGACTAATTATTTTGTAAAGGTGTTTACAAATTGTGGAAAATAGTTGGGTTGAAATATAATACAACTACTAACCAGTAGGTAGTCAAAAAAAACTTTTTACATATCAATAAAATTTATTGTTGTGTTTCATGTTAACATGTTGCAATAACTCTACCTTCCAGTAAATTCGACTATTTGCAAACATGAGAAAATACCATCTAAAACTTTTCAACCCATTTAATATAGCCAATAACAACATCAACTCAACTTTAAAACTAAAGAGAAAAGTTTACTGATGTTTAGAATTGGTTGCCGTGATGTAAAAATGAAATCCAGGTATTATCTTCTTCTTAATCATGGCATTTTAGCTCTAGCTTGTCTTCTTTTAAAGCAAACTTTTGCAGCGCAAGAAACATGCTAGACAAATTTCGTTAGCTAGAGTTGCTAAGATCATGGGCAGTTGGCTCGAAGAAGCCTACATTATAAGTAGTTACAGCACAGGTTACCGAATCAAATAACAGAAAGAATCTCAAAAGACGCCGTGTATTTCCAGCCAGAGGACAATCATGAAACAATAATAGCCAAAACAGGAAAAGTTTTAAGAATTTACAGGTTCAAACACGAGTTGAAAATGACTTTTCTTTTTAATTTTTACGCGAAACAGAGGAGGTTGAAACGTTAGGGAAAAAATGATGGGGCAAGCAGTCATACCTAGCAACTTCAAGAGAAGATATATGAGAAGCCCATACGATTCTGGCGTCTTGATTTACTAATTCACTGTTATCACGTGTATACTCCTCAATCGACTGTTGATGTCTAAACTCGAAGTAGTTTACCGTCGTTTCTTTCAATTTTGGCTCATTTTCCCGAACCAAAATTATCAGTCACGCTTAAAAGAATATAATTTCAACTGATTCTGACATCGCACACTTCCTCTGAAGAAGAAAAGATTCTCTATCTATAACGTATTCTGCGAGAATAAGTTGCCTGTTTTCAATTTTCGAGAAACTTTAGACGCAAAAAAATCAGTTTTTCCGATCGCGGCTCTCGTGTGTAACTTCCAGTAGTATTCTTCAAGCAATAAAGTGTTGAAAGAGCTGTTTCGTTTATCAAATAGGCGTTGCCTCTCTTGATAGATTTACTTAATGATAAAAATCGTGATTGACATTAATTAAAATTTAAAAAGCGTTAGATTATTATGTTTCAGGTCAGTTTTTTTACCGGAATCGAAGTGAGAAAGAAGTTATTTTGTTATCATTTTTTTCTGTCTCTAAATCCGCTTACCTGGAGAATCTGCTAACCTATAAAGTGAGACGGTTGCAACGACCCGCCACAGAAGTAGGTTTTACATGGAAGTTTTTTAATTTAGCTAGGAGATTAAGACTTGACTTGTGTTTATTCTGATTGCGAATTATAAATGTATTTCTTTTAGATCGAATAATTATTAAAGCTTGGCTTGATATTATGCGGTTTATGGTGGTCATTTGATCTAACCAGTTCCGATAATGGAAACAAGGACACCAATTCAAGAACAGCTCAGTTCATCTTCTTTCGCGTGTTAAAGCTTTTGTAACTTTCATATAAAAATTTTATTTTGTAAAGGATAAGAAACATGGTAAGCTTATTATTATTATTATTATTATTATTATTATTATTATTATCATCCAATTCGGCCTGTGATCATACAAGTGTTAAACAAAATCGGACGAGCGCGAAGCGGGATGACGAGTATGAATACAGACAGAATTGGACGACAAGAAGTCCTGTTACCAATTAATCATAACCATTTCAATTTCCGAAAAAGCAAGTACATCAAAAGCAAATATCTCCAGTGGAGACAACGTCTTTTGTTGAAAATTCCTCCATTTTGGAAATTCCCAGTTTTTCTTGGGATAAGTGGTTGTTGCTATGGTTATTGTGATCATTTCTGTGATTGGTGGATTAGCTGAGTGGACTTAGTATGATTGACTGCTTCAACTGTCCGATTACAGGTGTTCGATTACATCCAACTGTACGATGGAGACTAGATGCTGTTCTTTAAATACAGCAAATTGAAATATCTCCTACGGTACAGCGGTGATTTTTTCCCCATGTTCTTGTTTGCGAGATTCCTAGACTTTACTTTAGTGAACTTATTGCTTATTAATTTTTAATGTTCCTGCTATTTATAACAAAAGAAGGCTAATGCAAACGGTCCTCGCAGCCTAATTAAGGCTTCGCAGCGGTGCTTGAAGAAGGTCTATCAAAGAAACGATTACAAAAAAATTTTAATGCTAAAATTAATTAAAAGACGACGACAAACAACCGGTAGCGTGGCCAATTTCTTTCCTTCCATTACAAGGAGTCACATTATCCAATTTTACTCGGATACTGAGATAAATGGGTTATTCGTATTTTAGGGCAAAGGTTTTTCAGGAAAAATGTTTAGCCTAGCGCGAATTATAATTTTCATCAGTGATATATAAATGGCATTGGAAGACGATTGAAACCCACACACGTCTAGCAACCGACCAACCGACTATAAAAAAGGCGCTACAAACTACAGAAACACAAGGGCCATTTAAACAGCGCTCGATGTTCAGAATGCGTTTTTGAGGGGTCTTCTGATTTTTACTTTTGCCGCAAAAGCAAAATTTTCCAGCATGATAGTCAAAACGGCCTTTCGCTCGAAACGCGGCACATGGAGAGAATTCTCCAACGTATATAATTAGTAATTAAGTGTTTAGGACTGAATTGAATTATCGTGATATTCCCAAAAGTCGTGACTCGAACTTCATTCAAGTGTTGGGTTATTTAATTACACTGTAATTGGCCATGAATTCAAATAGGGGTCTTAGTTTTGGAGTGTTTTTCAAGAGCGAAAATCTAGATCCTGAACCAGTCTTTCGAGGGGTCTTAGGTCTTAAGCCCGGTCCTCACTAGCGACGCAAGCATAAGCATAAGCATAGGAAGCTTATGCGCTAGTGAGGACAACCGCGACATAAGCATAAGCATAAGCATAAGAATATCAAAACCTTGCGTTCCTCTTACGCTTAGGCTTATGCTTATATCGTTGTTTTTTCTAGTGAGGACACGGTTAGCAAAATCATAAGCATAAGCACAAGACTACTAGCCAATCACTAAACACTGGGTCTCAGACCGCTCCCTCGGGAAACAAAATGGCGGGCAATGCAACAGTACTAACGACTGAATACAGGAATGGCTCCGACCTGTGATTGGATGATAAAAATAGTAAAAGTTAATAACTTATATCTTAACTCATTGCTCGTGAGTATGGTTAACCGCATGTCTCGAAGCGGAACAATGAAATATCAATGTGAAAACACCGATGAGTCACACAAGAAATGGCTACTTACATAATGAAGAGAAGGCAGAGTCTAGCTTGTTCAGCGAGGTCGTTCAGCGATATTCCGGCGATGAAAAAGTCATCCAATGACAAGCTCCGCTGACAAAACTCATTTAGTCAGTCAATTTTTTTTTTCGTTCTGGCTAAATAATTTATGCACTGAGATAAAAACTGAAAGAGCGATTTATTAGGTTCTTCTTATGTTGAAGTCTACAGTGCTTGCATATGAAGCCCTCTTTTATCACTACAGGGCCATGTAGTTTCTAAGTTTTAAAATAATGCAGCAACTGTATCTCACGTTTGGAAAATCACGCAATGTTGCCTGACGCTGCGACCGATGTTTTTAATTTACAGTATGCTCTGCTGGAGAAATATGGCTTGGCCACGATCGAGGGAGTTTTTTTTCGTGGAAAATTGATTTTCTAGGTTATTGTTCACACGAAGGACAAATCCATTCATCGGGCTCTTCATCTGTTTTTGCACAACACGTGAAGGGAGAAAGTCGCGGATTAATTTTGCTTGGTAATTTCTAACAACTCCACTAGACCTTAAAAAGGAAGAAGACAAAACAAACCAAAAAAATGTCTTACTAGTCAAACCAGTGGCAATAGCTCTCGCACTGAATCATGTCGTAGTACCTTGACTGTTTGCAGTGATGGTAAAACCAATCCTTGAACAGTTTTCGGCTATAACAAGAAAGAGTAAAATGATTTTTTAAAACTTGTTCTAAAATTAATGAAGGCTGTTCATCGCATGACGCTTTATTGGAACGAGTATATCTTGTTTGCTATTGTATCACACTACCGTTTTAGACAAGGTATTTATACCACTTAAATTTAAGAAAGAATGAGTAAAACATAAATCACTTTTTCTGTAAAGTACACGAGTCATTCTAACCTAATTTGCCGACTGCCAGGCATCATCTGTAAAAAACCGCTACAATTTTTAAAATTCGAAAATTTTTAGCTAAAACCGTGGCTCCCAAAAATATTTCTCACCTTGCCTAAAAAATTTTCAGAAGAAATTTTCAAATTTTTCACAGCTTTGCCTATTCCTGCTCGTAGGTCCAGCCAAGCCCTTATGGTCATTGGCCCCCGCAATAGCCGTTAACAATGGCTTATAAATATAGGCGTTTAGTGTTGACTTGTAAAACTCCCTGAAGAAGCTTACGACAGTTAGACGAAACGCGTCAGAGAATAAAGAAGTGTTAAAACTACTGTTCTACTACTGTTACAGCGCTGCTTACTAGTTTAGTTTTAATTTTTTTTTCAAAAACTGTTTAAAAAATTATTGAAAAATTATTGAAAAAAATTAATAAACGTTTGAGTCGGAGCTATTCCTGTCAGCGATGAAATACAGGAATGGCTCCAGTCTCTGGTCGTCCGCGTGAACTGACTAAATGAATTTAGTCAGCGGAGCTAGTCAGCAGATGACTTTCTCATCGCCGGAGTATCGCTGAACGACCTCGCTGAACAAGCTAGACTGTGCCTTCTCTTCATTATGTAAGTAGTCTTGTTTGACTCATAGGTGTTTTCTCATTGATATTTCATTGTTCCGCTTCGAGACATGCGGTTAACCATACTCACGGGCAAAGAGTTAAGATATAAGTTATTAACTTTTACCATTTTTATCATCCAATCACAGGTCGGAGCCATTCCTGTATTTAGTCGCTCGTGCAACAGTTGATGAAAAACTGGCAGAATTGGTGAGAAAATTCCCGATCCTGTATGACAAATCATTCAAAGATTTCAAAGACAGACACAAGAAGGAAAGAGCATGGGAGGATGTAGCGAAGGAGGTCAGTTTTCCGTCAGGTTATTCATTTATGGATTATTTTCTTTCTCTAATCAGTTTGGATTTCGTACTGGTAGCGTGTTTGAACATGCTGGACTTCATGTTTTTAATGTTTGTCGAATTAGTTGTTTTGGCGTTTTAATCGCAACCAATGACTTAGGCGTAAGAGGGAAACGCTCTGGAGTATGGTTTCTCGGCAATGAACGCTTGTAATCAATTTAATTGAAAGGGTCTGAAGGAAGTTCTCCTTAATTTACGCCATGAGTAATAGTCTAAAATGAAGATGACTGACTTTAAATAGGTGTGAAATGCTTATGTGAACGTCGGATAAGCGATTTCATGGCTGATAAATGACCCTTGTAGTTATGAATATGAGGATAATTGTACATTCATTAAGCTTAACTAAACTTAAGATATATAAGAATTCTATTTGCCATATTTACACTGATTTTTTATTGTGGTTTTCCTGGGTGTTTTTTTATAATCTTTCTATAACAACCCCTTAATTAGTATGGCTGACAAATACAAACTCGTCATTCATTTCGTTGTGTCTATTGATATTTTTGTAGGAAAAGAGGCAGAAACAGCATTCAGAAATTTAAGAAACAGATACAGTCGAGATAAGAAGAAGATCAGGAATGTTACGGTCAGTGTAACAGAAACAGATTCTGAGACAGATGCTGAGAGAGAAACATCAGAATTGTTTCTCTATTTGGAATGGCTTGAGCCATACATACAACCACGAAGAAGTACAAGTAATTTGGTAGTGATCAATGATGATAGTGACCTCACAGCTGATAGCACTGATAAAGATGACGGCTGTGACAGGTCATCAAATTTAGCAGAACCTGACAACAAAGTGATGTTCAAGTCCCAGGTTACTGGTCATACTAAGTACACGAAGCGTAATAGGGCAAAGGATGATGTTGACAGTGCTGAGTTGGAATTCCTCCAGACAATTGGAGACAGTCTCAAGGAAAAGCCAACACGACCCCAAAGAGATGAAGAAAGCATTTTTGGTGATTTGATTGCATCTTAACTTCGGCAGTTGCCATACCATGAGAGGGTCATGGCCAAAATGGAAATAAGTAATGTGGTCTGCTCGTTTGTTAAGAAAGAATTCTAACCCTTACCCAGATTATTTAGCAGGTGGATTTCCAACTCAAGACCAAAGAGGTCATGACATGCCACAAGTTTACAGTCGAACAAATGTCAGGGAAACAACACCACCTCCAGCTCCATCTTTTGCATTAACAGAAATGCAAAGTGGAGATAATCATGTATTTCCCCAAGGATATTTTTTTCAACAACTTTGACAGTCAGAAAATTGATAAAACATGTTCGTGATAATCAATGTCATATTTAAAAGTTGTTGTTGTTAGACTGAGTTCTTCTTTTTAAACGTGTTGCTTTGTAATTGCCACACAGTTGAGAAAACAAGACAATTACTGGTACATCATATGGAACAGTAAATGTTCATTAAACATTTCTATTTCTTTAGCTCTTATTTATCTGCCTGATATTGTACCTACAGAATTGTATTTAAATGATTTATGGAGCTCATAAGCACATTTGTTTGTTCTGTAAAGTAAGCAAGATCAGTTGTGCTCTCTAATTTGTTGAAGAACGTTTATTACTATAAACTGTAAAAACATTACATTTTTATTCTTTTTTGCTTGTCACAATCTCTTCAAAGGTAACTTAAAAAAGGTGTGGAAACACGTTTATGGTTTGAGTTTCAACAGATTTTCTTGTTCTCCTAGACTCCTACATATTACCACAAACTGACATATAGTATAAATCAGTCCTCTTTTTCTTAAGCATGCCACAGGAACGACTCTCTACTTGGTAAATAATATCAGGTACCACTTTGCTTTCATTATCCTCGAGGATCTTGAAAGATCTTATAGGTCATGTAAAGCTTTTCACCAGGGATTCTGGGCCATGTACAAGTATTTTACAGAAAGAGAAAAAACACAATGGTAATGCACAAGTTTCTAACGGACAATGTACCAGTGATCTCAACAGTTGCAAATTTTATGCTTTAGCAAATTTGTCCTTCTAACTAACATTTTGGCCTCTACTTCTTACATGATTCCATTGCCAAGGGAGGGATCCAGAATCAGAAACAAAATATTCCATCAATGCCTCCCGGACTTCAATAGCTGAGTTGGAATATCTT